CTCTGATCACTGTCCTTTGTCTCCGCCCCCTACCCAGCTCCGAGCACTGTCCTTTGTCTCCGCCCCCCTACCCACCTCTGAGCACTGTCCTTTGTCTCCGCCCCCTACCCACCTCTGAGCACTGTCCTTTGTCTCTGCCCCCTACCCACCTCTGAGCACTGTCCTTTGTCTCCGCCCCCCTACCCACCTCTGAGCACTGTCCTTTGTCTCCGCCCCCTACCCCACCTCTGAGCACTGTCCTTTGTCTCCGCCCCCTACCCACCTCTGAGCACTGTCCTTTGTCTCCGCCCCCTACCCAGCTCCGAGCACTGTCCTTTGTCTCCGCCCCCTACCCACCTCCGAGCACTGTCCTTTGTCTCCGCCCCCTACCCACCTCTGAGCACTGTCCTTTGTCTCCGCCCCCTACCCACCCTCTTAGCACTGTCCTTTGTCTCCGCCCCCCCCTACCCACCTCTTAGCACTGTCCTTTGTCTCCGCCCCCTACCCAGCTCTGAGCACTGTCCTTTGTCTCCGCCCCCTACCCAGCTCCGAGCACTGTCCTTTGTCTCCGCCCCCTACCCCCACCTCCGAGCACTGTCCTTTGTCTCCGCCCCCTACCCACCTCCGAGCACTGTCCTTTGTCTCCGCCCCCTACCCACCTCTGAGCACTGTCCTTTGTCTCCGCCCCCTACCCACCTCTGAGCACTGTCCTTTGTCTCCGCCCCCTACCCAGCTCCGAGCACTGTCCTTTGTCTCCGCCCCCTACCCACCTCCGAGCACTGTCCTTTGTCTCCGCCCCCTACCCACCTCCGAGCACTGTCCTTTGTCTCCGCCCCCTACCCACCTCTTAGCACTGTCCTTTGTCTCCGCCCCCTACCCACCTCTTAGCACTGTCCTTTGTCTCCGCCCCCTACCCAGCTCTGAGCACTGTCCTTTGTCTCCGCCCCCTACCCAGCTCCGAGCACTGTCCTTTGTCTCCGCCCCCTACCCACCTCCGAGCACTGTCCTTTGTCTCCGCCCCCTACCCACCTCCGAGCACTGTCCTTTGTCTCCGCCCCCTACCCAGCTCCGAGCACTGTCCTTTGTCCCTCCGCCCCCTACCCACCTCTGAGCACTGTCCTTTGTCTCCGCCCCCTGCCCAGCTCCGAGCACTGTCCTTTGTCTCCGCCCCCTACCCACCTCTGAGCACTGTCCTTTGTCTCCGCCCCCTACCCACCTCTGAGCACTGTCCTTTGTCTCCGCCCCCTACCCACCTCTGAGCACTGTCCTTTGCCTCCGCCCCCTACCCACCTCTGAGCACTGTCCTTTGCCTCCGCCCCCTACCCACCTCTGAGCACTGTCCTTTGTCTCCGCCCCCTACCCACCTCTGAGCACTGTCCTTTGTCTCCCGCCCCCTACCCACCTCTGAGCACTGTCCTTTGTCTCCGCCCCCTACCCACCTCCGAGCACTGTCCTTTGTCTCCGCCCCCTACCCACCTCTGAGCACTGTCCTTTGTCTCCGCCCCCTACCCACCTCTGAGCACTGTCCTTTGTCTCCTCCGCCCCCTACCCAGCTCCGAGCACTGTCCTTTGTCTCCGCCCCCTACCCACCTCTGAGCACTGTCCTTTGTCTCCGCCCCCTACCCACCTCTGAGCACTGTCCTTTGTCTCCGCCCCCTACCCACCTCCCAGTACCGCCCCTTGTCAGAATCTGTTATTTTGTGGGGAGGTTAATGATAGGAAAAGCTGTAAGATGGACTCCCTGCAGCCAGCAACAGTAGATCCCCTGCAGTAGCAAGAACCCCCCCCCAAAGTAGCAATGATCATATCAACAGCACCAATAGATCACCCCCCATCAACAATTGATTGCCCCTATTTCCCCTAGGAGCAACAATAATCCCCATCAGCAGCAAAGTGGCAATGATGGCACCAATAGATCCCCCCCAAGCAGCGACAATTGACTGCCTCCACTTCCCCCGGCAGCAACAATAGATCCCATTCCGCAACAAGCGCCTCCAAGCAGCAACGGTAGATCACCCAACAGCAACAGATCGCGTCCCCCCAAGCAGCAAAAATTGACTGCTTCGCTGTCCCCCCCCCCCGCAGCAATCAACAGTTTCCCCCCTACACAACAGAAGATCCTCCCTAGCAACAATAGAACCTACCCCTCAGCAGCAACAGTTGATCTTCTCAATTTTCCCCAGCAGCAGCAATTGACCATAGATTCTCCCAGCAACAATAGATCCTACCCTACAAGCAGCAACAATTGATCACCTTCCTTTCCCACAGCGCAGTCATCAGTAGACCCCACCCCTCCCTTCCACAACAGCAATGTTTGACAGTAGATCCTCCCCAGCAAAATTAGAACCTACCCCCCCCCCCCAACAGCAACAATTGTTCTCCCCTTTCCCGCAGCAGCAGTCAACAGTAGATCCTCCCTAGCAACAATAGAAACCTACCCCCCCAAGCAGCAACAGTAGATCACCCAACAGCAACAGATCGCGTCTTTCAACCCCCCCCCCCCCCCCCAGAGCAGCAAAAATGTATTGCTTCGCTTTCCCCTGGCAGAAATCAGTAGCACCCCCCTACACACCAGTAGATCCTCCCTAGCAACAATAGAACCTTACCCCCCCCCCCCCCCCAGCAACAACAGTTGATCTCCCTTTTCCCCAGCAGCAATCAACAGATTTTCCCCAGCAACAATAGATCCTACATCCCCCCCCCCAAAGCAGCAACAATTGATCACCTTCCTTTCCCACAGCAGCAGTCAATAGTAGACCCCCTCTACAACAGCAGTATTCGACAGTAGATCCTCCCCAGCAAAATTAGAACCCACCTTCCCCCAACAGCAACAATTGTTCTCCCTTTCCCGCAGCAGCAGTCAACAGTAGATCCTCCCTAGCAACAATAGAACCTACCCCCCCCACGGAGCAACAGTAGATCACCCAACATCAACAGATCGCGTCTCTCAACCCCCCCCCCCCCCCCCCCAAAGCAGCAAAAATGTATTGCTTCGCTTTCCCCTGGCAGAAATCAGTAGCATCCCCCTACACACCAGTAGATCCTCCCTAGCAACAATAGAACCTACCCCCCCCCCCCCCCCCCAAGCAACAACAGTTGATCTCCCTTTTCCCCAGCAGCAATCAACAGATTTTTCCCCAGCAACAATAGATCCTACATCCCCCCCCCAAAGCAGCAACAATTGATCACCTTCCTTTCCCACAGCAGCAGTCAATAGTAGACCCCCCTCCACAACAGTAGATCTCCCCCCAAGCAGCAACAATTGTTCAACTCCCTTTTCCGCAGCAGCAGTCAACAGTAAACCCCCCTCCACAGCAGTAGATCCTCCCCAGCAACAATATAACCTACCCCCCCAAGCTGCAACAATTGTTTGCCCCCCTTTCCCACAGCATCAGTCAACAGTAGACCCCCTCCACAACAGTAGTTCCCCCCCCCCCCCCCCAATCAACAACAATTGATCAACCTTCCTTTTCCTGCAGCAGCAGTCAACAGTAGCCCCCCCCCCACACAACAATAGATCCTCTCCAGCAACAATAGAATTTACACCCCCCCCAAAGCAGCAACAATTGTTCATTTCCCTTTCCCGCAGCAGCAGTCAACAGTAGCCCCCCATCTGCAACAGTAGATCCTCCCCAGCGGCAATAGAATTCCCCCCCCCCCCCCAAAGCAGCAACAATTGTTCGCCTCCCTTTCTCGCAGCAGCAGTCAACAGTAGACCTCCCGCCACAACAGTAGATCCTCCCCAGCAACAATAGAACCTACCCCCCCCCCCCAAGCAGCAATATTTGTTCACCTCACTTCCCCCAGCAGCAATCAACAGTAGATCCTCACCAGCAACAATGAAAACTCCCCCAGCAACAATAGAACCTATTCCCTTCCAGCAGCAATCAACAGTAGATCCTCACCAGCAACAATGAAAACTCCCCCAGCAACAATAGAACCTATTCCCTTCCAGCAGCAATCAACAGTAGATCCTCACCAGCAACAATAGAACCTATTCCCTCCCCCCCAGCAGCAATCAACAGTAGACCCCCCCTTATATACATACATTTCAATGTTCTGCAGTCATCTGCAAAGCTCCATAATGCCACCCTGTAGAAACAATTGCTTTTTGTTTGTTTTTTTCGTTTTCCATCCAGCACAATCGCTTCATAAATTGTTAGTTTGGATTTTTTTTTTTTTTTTTTTTTATTAAACTGATATTTCTGGATGAAATGTTACATTTTTATATATATGTCACAAGAAGACCACTTTTCTACAACTGTGACTTTGATGCAGAGAAGGGATAACAGAGTTTTTTCAGGACAGGACGGGGTTAATCCTCAGTCCAGACACCCCCCCCACATCACTGCGGGCACCAACATTACACAAGTCTGCGGAGGGTTTATATCGGGACAGCGCCCCCCGCCCTCCGCACTCTGCATCTTCTCCTACATGGCAGCCTGTAGGCCGCGCACTCCGATCTCGGAAGGGAAAGTATCTATTTTTTGTGCACTAAAAGTAAACATTTGTTTCTCTTTATTTAGGTAAAAATTACATACAATTATTTTTAAATATAACCCATTCATGTGACGGAATACTAGCCAGCAGCTGGCTTCTAGGCTACGTGTGCAAAAAGGGGGGGAGATCAGATTCCACGCACAGTTGTTGGACTCCGAGGGGAAACTCTCTTCCTACCTCTTTCCCAGAGATGGGACTTTGTGCCAACGGCTGCCAGAAAGCACACTTCACTGTTCAACCCTTTTTTTTTTTTTTTTCATTTTTGTTTGTTTTTGGGGTTTTTTTTTTTTTTTTAGAAAATATTAATACAAAAATTCATATTCACTTTTAAAAATTTAAACTCACGATTTTAATAAAATTAGGCCGGAAAATTGATCCTTTCCCTTTTTAAAAGCATTTTTTAGGCCTTGTGGCGCTCTCCGAGGGTCTGTAGCTCCCAGTCTGTGTCTAGCGGTAATGGAGCCACAGCCCCCCCCCCATCCCGTGACGAATCTTCTCTCTGACCACATTTGTCATTTCAGCCATTCACAGCCTGAAGCTGAGCCGCAGCCACGTGGACTGGCACAGCGTGGACGAGGTCTACCTCTACAGCGACGCCACCACGTCCAAAATAGCGCGGACCGTCACCCAGAAGCTGGGCTTCTCCAAGGGTAAGCCTCATGATTTCGCAGGAATAACGAGCCGCGATTGGCCGGTCCTAGATCCCAGAACACCGCGAAGGAGAGCTTCTCGAGGAGGGGCAAAGGAAGTGATCGGAATTGGTCACTTCCAGGTTCATTCTGCGAGGAGATCAGTGAACGGATGAGTGATAGACTCCGTATGCTGTCCCTGCTAGGTTCTCACCATGGATGTTCTTGGCACTGAAGACGGGGGGGCATGGGATACATGGAGGGGGGTGTCAACTTACTGCAAATGTAGATGTAATGGGGTGGCTAAAGGGTTACAGAACAGCCGAGGGAGGGGGGGGGATGGGTAATCATGGAGGAGGGTGGGAAGTTGGAAGAGGGTGGGAAAGTCCTGCCAGGCAGAATTGCTAACCATTTAGCCACTGTGCTGCCCACTGAGCTTGAGGTGTTGACTTGGCCTCCAAGTTCTCCAGATCTCAATCCAATTTAGCAGCTGTGGGATGTGCTGGAAAAAGAAGTCCGATCCATGGAGGCCCCCCCCCCCCAAACGCCTCCCAACTTACAGGACTTAAAGGACCTGCTGCTGACGGCTTGGTGCCAGAGACCACGGTGTACCTTCAGAGGTCTAGTGGAGTCCATGGTGGGACCGGTCAGGAAAGGGGGACCTGCTCAGGATTAGGGGTGTGGTCATGAAGTTATGGCTGATCGGTGTATTCTTACATGGGAATTTTCATCTAATAAGATATGAGGTGCCGCAGATAGTTGTGGACTTTCTATAGGTTGAAGCTGCACTCCTTCCTGACGTCACCATTTGTACAGAAGGTGGGAGCTGCCTGAGTCTATAGACACACACACTGTATGTGACGACTTTTCTTGAACTGCGTAACACCTGCCCAATTTTTTTTCTAGTTATGGATCTAGCGGGGGATGGGGTTAGAACCTATTTTGGGTTCAGTTGCTCTCTTTGACCCCTTTCAGGAATGTCCACCCCCCCCCTTTCCTGTCCTGGTGACACCACAGGCAGTTTTGACACTGTGTGCATTTGTTTTGCAGCTTCAAGTAGCGGCACCAGGCTGCACAGAGGGTACGTGGAGGAGGCCACATACGAGGACAAGCCTGTAGATACAAGTCACATTGTTTTCGTTGTCCATGGCATTGGGCAGAAGATGGACCAAGGCCGGATCATCAAGAACACGGCTATGTAAGTCCAACTCCATGCAAAGCTTACTGCATGGGATTGGGGAGATTTCCTCTCACTTCCTGTGTGGTCACCGCAGCAGTAACGGAGTCTCTCCAGCAGGGGGGCACACCTTTCTTGGAGGCCAACTGCCCCAAAGTGATCCCTCTCCGGCCAACTGTGTCCAAGTGATCCCTCTCTGGCTGGTCCCGCTCGGCTCTCTGAGATCCCTCTCTGGCCAATCCCACTCTGTTCTCTGTGATCCCTCTCTGGCCAGTCCCGCTCGGCTCTCTGTGATCCCTCTCTGGCCGGTCCCTGCTATGCTCTGTGATCCCTCTCTGGCCGGTCCCGCTCTGCTCTCTGTGATCCCTCTCTGGCCGGTCCCGCTCTGCTCTCTGTGATCCCTCTCTGGCCGGTCCCGCTCTGCTCTCTGTGATCCCTCTCTGGCCGGTCCCCGCTCGGCTCTCTGTGATCCCTCTCTGGCCGGTCCCGCTCGGCTCTCTGTGATCCCTCTCTGGCCGGTCCCGCTCTGCTCTCTGTGATCCCTCTCTGGCCGGTCCCGCTCGGCTCTCTGTGATCCCTCTCTGGCCGGTCCCCCGCTCGGCTCTCTGTGATCCCTCTCTGGCCGGTCCCGCTCGGCTCTCTGTGATCCCTCTCTGGCCGGTCCCGCTCGGCTCTCTGTGATCCCTCTCTGGCCGGTCCTGCTATGCTCTGTGATCCCTCTCTGGCCGGTCCCACTCGGCTCTCTGTGATCCCTCTCTGGCCAATCCCACTCTGTTCTCTGTGATCCCTCTCTGGCCGGTCCCGCTCGGCTCTCTGTGATCCCTCTCTGGCCGGTCCCGCTCGGCTCTCTGTGATCCCTCTCTGGCCGGTCCCGCTCGGCTCTCTGTGATCCCTCTCTGGCCGGTCCCGCTCGGCTCTCTGTGATCCCTCTCTGGCCGGTCCCGCTCTGCTCTCTGTGATCCCTCTCTGGCCGGTCCCCGCTCTGCTCTCTGTGATCCCTCTCTGGCCGGTCCCGCTCTGCTCTCTGTGATCCCTCTCTGGCCGGTCCCGCTCTGCTCTCTGTGATCCCTCTCTGGCCGGTCCCGCTCTGCTCTCTGTGATCCCTCTCTGGCCGGTCCCGCTCTGCTCTCTGTGATCCCTCTCTGGCCGGTCCCGCTCGGCTCTCTGTGATCCCTCTCTGGCCGGTCCCGCTCTGCTCTCTGTGATCCCTCTCTGGCCGGTCCCCCGCTCGGCTCTCTGTGATCCCTCTCTGGCCGGTCCCGCTCGGCTCTCTGTGATCCCTCTCTGGCCGGTCCCGCTCGGCTCTCTGTGATCCCTGTGTATGTGAAATCTCCTTTTTCTGACCTCATACACGTCTGTTGTCACAGGATGAGGGAGACGGCCAGGAAAATTGAAGAGAAGCATTTCTCCCACCTGACCACAGAGCACGTGGAGTTCCTTCCTGTGGAATGGCGATCCAAGCTTGCTCTGGATGGAGGTAAGTTCTCACCAATTTCCTCTCCCCCATCTCCGCACCTCTTCTCCTTTGTGTACCCCTCTTCTACTATTCCCCCCCCCCCATCTCCGCACCTCTTCCCCTTTGTGTACCCCTCTCTTCTACTATTCCCCCCCCCCATCTCCGCACCTCTTCCCCTTTGTGTACCCCTCTCTCTTCTACTATTCCCCCCCCCCCCCCCCCATCTCCGCACCTCTTCTCCTTTGTGTACCCCTCTTCTACTATTCCCCCCCCCCCATCTCCGCACCTCTTCCCCTTTGTGTACCCCTCTTCTACTATTTCCCCCCCCCCATCTCCGCACCTCTTCTCCTTTGTGTACCCCTCTTCTACTATTTCCCCCCCCCCATCTCCGCACCTCTTCCCCTTTGTGTACCCCTCTTCTACTATTCCCCCCCCCCCATCTCCGCACCTCTTCCCCTTTGTGTACCCCTCTTCTACTATTTCCCCCCCCCAATATCCTCACTTCTTCCTCTGTGTATCCCCCTTCTACCCCTTTGTGTATCCCCCTTTTAATACCCCCCCCCCCCCCCCCAAATCTCACTGCTTCCCCTTTGTCTAATGTAATGTTTTATAATCAATGTTTCCTCACGGTTCTTTCTTCTCATTGGCTGTCCTCACCCAGACACCGTAGACTCCATCACTCCGGACAAGGTGCGCGGTATACGGGACATGCTGAACAGCAGCGCCATGGACATCATGTACTATACCAGCCCGCTGTACAGAGACGAGGTAAGAACCCGCCCACCGACGCGTCACCGTACCGATAAGACACCACAATGGAGAGTGTATGGAGCGCAGGAGGCTGTTCATTGGGCGGATGGTTTGGCGGGATCGTCCATATTTTTAATTAGGGAATGTTAGATGTCCCTACCGTTGGTTGTGGGACAGGTACCCCTCCTGAGGCATGGAGGTGTGGGGAAGACGGGGGAGGGGGGTACATTTTTGCATTCTTTGTGTTACTTTGTAAGAAATGTACAACGCCAGACTTTCTTTATTGTTCATTATCTTAATAAATATCATATATATATATATTTTTTTTATTTTTATTTAAGTAATACATAAAATTTTATTTAAGTAAAATAAAAATATATAAATTATATAAAAATAAATAATTTATAAATATTTTTTCTATTTTTATTGTAATCCTGTTTATTTCCTTTTCGGTCCTATTGTGTTACTTTATAGGATGTGCAGAATACTGGACTTCACTTTACTTTTTTCTCTCTGTTACTTTTTCGTCATCTTTTCTCATTGTCTGTATTTCATGTTCCCTCTTCCCATCTATCCCCCATGGATCTATGATCCTCCCAATCAGGGTGTACGGAGGTAGAAGTGAATTTCCCCCCCCCCCCCTTCATTTGTCCAGCTCTTTCAGCGCCCTGACATTAGTACATGGCGGGGATAATAGTCGGGGCGGAACGCCGGTGTCACTGATGTTTGCTCTTGTTCTGCCTGTTAGACACGAACAATGCGCCTTCTTATTAAAGGCTATCGGTGTCGCCAGCTCAGTCTTGTAGCTCATCAATTATTGAACGCTCAGCGGTCTGCTGCCAGAACACAGGAACTGCGCCGAGCCGAGTGTCCCCGTATGCTGTGTCACCTGTGTGTTGGGGGAGGGGGGGGGGGTGCCGGATAATTCCGAAGACGGCTGTAGAGCTCCTACAGACTGGCTGGTTAAAGGCCAACTCCGACCACAACTTGGCCTCTAATCGTTTTATGTTCCTCCCGAAATCCTGGAGCCCAGCTGATATTTCAGCTTAAATGGGCTGAATGCGTTCCGGGGCATCGAGTACAAAGTGAGCGAAGTCCTGAGTAATATGGAGGTCAGTGAGCGCTAACAAATAACAGCAGCTGATTCGCTAAAAAGGGAAACCGTAAAACCTTCAAAGTGATGTGAACATAAATAGCGCAGCGCTAGGAATGATGTATATAAATAGGTACAATAATGCGTCAAGACCTCTGCAGAGAGACTTCTGCTTCCTTACAGAGGGCAGGCCTCCATCTGTGCAGCATGCTGGCAGGGACAGGCTTCTCTACTCAGGAATGTGAACATAAATAGTGCAGCACTAGGAATGATGTATATAAATGGGTACCAATAATGTAACCAGCACAATGTGTACATCTAGTTCTCCACAACCGCGCAGTAATGCCGGGATAATGAACACCTTCACTAGATGTATAATACACAGCGCAAATGATAGTCCAACAAATGTCTGATAGTGATGAAACCACGAATAAACCGAGAGAAAACGTGACTTGATTAGATCCCAGTGACCGCTTTAACCCCTTCCATACCGGGCAATTTTCCCCCTTCCTGCCAGGCCATTTTTCAGGTTTCAGCGCTCTCACACGTTGAATGACAATTGCGCGGTCATCACAACACTGTACCCAAACTAAAAATGTTATTATTTTCTTCACACAACTAGAGCTTTCTTTTGGTGGTATTTAATCACCGCCGGGGTTTTAATTTTTTGCTAAATTAACAAAAAAAGACCAAAAATTTTGAAAAAAAACAAAAGTTTTTTCTTTGTTTCTGTTATAAAAGTTTACAAATAAATAATTGTTCATAAATTTAGGCCGAGATGTATTCTGCTACATGTCTTTGGTGACAATAACCCAAATTAGGACGTATTATTTAGTTTGTAGGGAAGTTATAGAGTTCACAAACTATGGTATAGATCTGAATATTGATCAATCCTGAAGTACTGACAGCCAATCTAATTTCTTGAGGTCCAAGAATGTCAGAATAGTACAGATATCCCCCAAATGTCAGGACGGGACAGATATTCCCCCAAATGTCAGGACGGTACAGATATCCCCCCAAATGTCAGGACGGTACAGATATCCCCCCAAATGTCAGGACGGTACAGATATCCCCACAAATGTCAGGACGGTACAGATATGCCCCAAATGTCAGGACGGTACAGATATCCCCCAAATGTCAGAATAGTACAGATATCCCCCAAATGTCAGAATAGTACAGATATCCCCCAAATGTCAGAACGGTACAGATATCCCCCAAATGTCAGGATGGGACAGATATCCTCCAAATGTCAGAATAGTACAGATATCCCCCAAATGTCAGAACGGTACAGATATCCCCCAAATGTCAGGATGGGACAGATATCCCCCAAATGTCAGGACGGTACAGATATCCCCCCAAATGTCAGGACGGTACAGATATCCCCCCAAATGTCAGGACGGTACAGATATCCCCCCAAATGTCAGGACGGTACAGATATCCCCCCAAATGTCAGGACGGTACAGATATCCCCCCAAATGTCAGGACGGTACAGATATCCCCCCAAATGTCAGGACGGTACAGATATCCCCCCAAATGTCAGGACGGTACAGATATCCCCCCAAATGTCAGGACGGTACAGATATCCCCCCAAATGTCAGGACGGTACAGATATCCCCCCAAATGTCAGGACGGTACAGATATCCCCCCAAATGTCAGGACGGTACAGATATCCCCCCAAATGTCAGGACGGTACAGATATCCCCCCAAATGTCAGGACGGTACAGATATCCCCCCAAATGTCAGGACGGTACAGATATCCCCCCAAATGTCAGGACGGTACAGATATCCCCCCAAATGTCAGGACGGTACAGATATCCCCCCAAATGTCAGGACGGTACAGATATCCCCCCAAATGTCAGGACGGTACAGATATCCCCCCAAATGTCAGGACGGTACAGATATCCCCCCAAATGTCAGGACGGTACAGATATCCCCCCAAATGTCAGGACGGTACAGATATCCCCCCAAATGTCAGGACGGTACAGATATCCCCCCAAATGTCAGGACGGTACAGATATCCCCCCAATGTCAGGACGGTACAGATATCCCCCAAATGTCAGGACGGTACAGATATCCCCCCAAATGTCAGGACGGTACAGATATCCCCCCAAATGTCAGAACGGTACAGATATCCCCCAAATGTCAGAACGGTACAGATATCCCCCAAATGTCAGAACGGTACAGATATCCCCCAAATGTCAGGATGGGACAGATATCCCCCAAATGTCAGAATGGTACAGATATCCCCCAAATGTCAGAACGGTACAGATATCCCCCAAATGTCAGGATGGGACAGATATCCCCCAAATGTCAGGACGGTACAGATATCCCCCAAATGTCAGGACGGTACAGATATCCCCCCAAATGTCAGGACGGTACAGATATCCCCCCAAATGTCAGAACGGTACAGATATCCCCCAAATGTCAGGATGGGACAGATATCCCCCAAATGTCAGAATAGTACAGATATCCCCCAAATGTCAGAACGGTACAGATATCCCCCAAATGTCAGGATGGGACAGATATCCCCCAAATGTCAGGACGGTACAGATATCCCCCAAATGTCAGGACGGTACAGATATCCCCCCAAATGTCAGGACGGTACAGATATCCCCCCAAATGTCAGGACGGTACAGATATCCCCCCAAATGTCAGGACGGTACAGATATCCCCCCAAATGTCAGGACGGTACAGATATCCCCCCAAATGTCAGGACGGTACAGATATCCCCCCAAATGTCAGGACGGTACAGATATCCCCCCAAATGTCAGGACGGTACAGATATCCCCCCAAATGTCAGGACGGTACAGATATCCCCCAAATGTCAGGACGGTACAGATATCCCCCCCAAAATGTCAGGACGGTACAGATATCCCCCCAAATGTCAGGACGGTACAGATATCCCCCCAAATGTCAGGACGGTACAGATATCCCCCCAAATGTCAGGACGGTACAGATATCCCCCCAAATGTCAGGACGGTACAGATATCCCCCCAATGTCAGGACGGTACAGATATCCCCCCAAATGTCAGGACGGTACAGATATCCCCCCAAATGTCAGGACGGTACAGATATCCCCCCAAATGTCAGGACGGTACAGATATCCCCCAAATGACCCCTTTTTGCAGAGCAGACAGTCCGACATACTTCATAAGAGGAATGGCGAGTTTTTTGAAGTTGTATTTTTTTTGTCATTTTTCGGAAAATGAAAAAATTTTAAAAAATGACATATTGTCACCAGTGCAGTACAGCGTCGTCATATAACTGGCATGGCGGTGATCAGGGACACTGACTGGTGACAGTATTGAAAAAAAAAATATATTTTTTTTTTTATTATTTTTTATTAAATTTTTTTTATTTTTTTTTGAAGATTTTTTTTTTCATATTTCACTATGACCAAAGTAGTACAATGTTACCATAGTAACATTGTACTACTTTGGGGAAGTGATCAGTATTTTTTTTTTTTTTTTTTTTTTTTTTTTACACAATTTGCTTATAGCAAAGAATTACTTTGCTATAAGCAAGCATTTACCTGAATGACATCGATCCATTCAGGGTTTTTTTGTTTTTTTTTGTGCTTAGCTGTGATTTGGCCACAGCTAATCACATGACATGTGCATGTGATTAGCTGTGACCATTCACAGCTAGACACTAGTATACAATGGATGGCATGAATGAAGCCATCCATTGTGTACAACTGTCATGTGACCTGCTGTGATTGGTCACAGTAGGTCACATGATACCAGCAACGGGGTCGATACTCAGATCTGTCATCAGTCGTGTCCAAGGTACACGGCCGGTGACAGATTGCGCCGCTCTGCAGGAGCGCAATCTGCGCATGTGCGGGAGGACGCCATATGGCGTCCACCCGGAACGCTGGTGACATTTGCCGCCCACCATTCGGCCATAGGGCGGGCGGCAAATGGATAATCCAGTGCCGTGCAGGAATTATGAGTCAATTGCACACTCACCAGAGGCGCAATATAAACTGCGCATTTGTGTAATATACACCAGAGGTCCCTTCAGTTACGGATGGAGTGCAGCCTGGAATAGATGATTCCGCGGTAGATGGAAAAACATCTGGGGGTCCCCTTAGATAGGCCTGGCTACAGGCGGGATTTGCTGAATACAGCTTTCCTCTGGGCCCTGGGATGGTCACCTGGTGGTCCCTGGGGAGTTAAATGTTCGGTACAGAGCAGAAAAAAGTACCCATAGTGAAGTATTAAAGGTCAAAACAAAATGTTTATTACGGATTAGAACAGAAAAACACACTTTAGGTACTGCAGTAAAACCATGACGCTTACCCCCTTCTGATGTACGTGTGATACGAAACGCGCGTCAAGGAGGGGCCCCTGCTAGCCGTGACGTCAAGCCGCCGGATCAAGGAGGTCCGGTGGCCACTTATCACCAGCTGCTCAGTTTTATGCTGTGTTCCATTTTACTGCATCCTTTGTGCACGAGGATTGTTTATACTGCAGTACCTAAAAAGTGTGTTTTTCTGTTCTAATCCGTAATAAACATTTTTGGGGGCGGCTGAATTTCTGGCTCAGTTCGCCGTGGCGAGCTCAGCCAGAAGTGGGTATTTGTCAGAACCAGGTACCTGCTCCCTCTCCTCCCCCCCCAAAAAGGTGCCAAATATGGCAGCGGGGGGGGGAGGCAGAAAAGCAGCGCCTCCACTATTGGGTGGGACTCCGCTGTAATGAGGATTGGGTAAATCCACCAACCACTGTAGACAAAAAGCAAAGGGTGCTAACATCTGGGTGCAGCAATTTATCAAAGGCTTGAGAATGGGGCGTGTCCATGCCCTGAAATGCGTAGCCACGCCCACATCATCCTCTCTACCCAGAACTGCTGTATCTTCCATCAGAGCTTCCCTGTGCTCCATGCTGGTTTCTTCTGCGGCTGCTGCCCGGCGTTCGCTCTGCTGTGCTTGCTCACTTCCCTGCTGAACTATCGAGCTTCTCCAATGGGGGTACAACATGCCTGACGGTTTTATTACATCTGACTGCATACATGTCCTGAATGTAACAATTTATTAAAACAAAATAAAAGGACATGTATGCAGTCAGATGTAATAAAACCGCCAGGCATGTTGTACCCCATTGGAGAAGCTCGATAGTTCAGCAGGGAAGTGAGCAAGCACAGCAGAGCGAACGCCGGGCAGAAGCTGCAGAAGAAACCAGCATGGAGCACAGGGAAGCTCTGATGGAAGATACAGCAGTTCTGGGTAGACAAGATGATGTGGGCGTCGCTACGCTTTTCAGGGCATGGACACGCCCCATTCTCAAGCCTTTGATAAATTGCTGCACTTAAATGGTGGCGCCCTCTTTTGTTGACCACGTTCCTCGTCTTCGCTGTGTAGAGGACTGACGGTTGTCCAGAGATCAGTGGTGGAGTCATTGGGTCTTGTTCTGTGTTGGCAGTTGGTGAAAGGTCTCCAGCAAGAACTGAACCGTCTCTACAGCCTGTTCTGCTCCCGGAACCCGGAGTTCGAGGACAAAGGCGGGAAAGTGTCCATCGTGTCGCACTCGCTGGGCTGCGTGATCACGTACGACATCATGACGGGCTGGAATCCGGTGCGCCTCTATGAACAGCTGGAGCAGCACGAGGACGAGGAGACGGAGGAGCAGTGGATCAGTTACGAGGAGCAGCATCTGCTCAGAGAGCTCTTCTTGACCAAACAACGGTCAGTGTGGGCGCCAAGGAGGTCATGTGACTCCTAGAAGACCTCTGTGTCCAGAGCCATGGGGGGGCCAATCGGCTTTCTCTGTTCATCCATTCCATATATTACCGTAACCTTTCTTTATTGTCCATTTGTTCAGATTAAAAGAACTGGAAGATCGATTGCAGGGACTGAAGAATTCCTTGACGACGACGACTCCTGCCTTAAAGTTTAAGGTTCGTAGGTTCCCTCCGCGCCTTGTCTGTCGATGAACTCCGGCTCCGCCCTCTGCGTTCCATTTGGGGGGTGAAGTCCAAATTGTTCTTCACCAGACTTCCCGATAGGAAGGATGGGCTGGAAATCCTCGTGCTCCCGGGTTTTCTATGTTGGAAATTAGCACCAGATTGTGGCCCTCAGGATTCCCCCCCCCCCCCCCCCCCCACCACCACGGGAAGAGCTATAGTGCAGAAGGGTGCTCATGATGTGGTAAGCAAGAGAATCGTTGGGTCCAGGCAGAGGTCATGGCAGGCAGCAAACAATAAAGTAGGTCCAGGCAGGCAACAAAGTAGTCAGGTGATGGCAGGGGTCGTGGTTGGCAGCAAATAAGAGGGAATGTGGGGGTCGTGGCAGGATACTAATTAGTCGGGTGCAGGCAGGGGTCCTGGCAGGCAACAAAAAAAAAGTAGTTAGGTGTTGTAGCGGGCAACAAACAAGAAAATAGTTGTTTGCAGGCAGGGGTCGTGGCAGGCAACAAGCAAAAAGGTAGTCAGGTGCAGGCAGGGGTCATAACAGGCAACAAAGTAGTCAGTTCCAGGCAGGGGTTGTGGCAGGCAACAAACAAGAAGGTAATCTGGTCTGGGCAGAGGTCGTAGCAGGCAACAAACAAGAAAGTAGCCAGGGGTTGTGGCAGGCAGCAAACAAAGTAGTCAGGTCCAAGCAGGGGTCTTGGCAGGCAACAAAGACGAAAGTAGTCAGGGGTCATGGCAGGCAACAAAGACGAAAGTAGTCAGGGGTTGTGGCAGGCAGCAAACAATAAAGTAGTCTGGTCGTGGCAGGCTACAAATAATTAATTAGTCTGGTCCAGGCAGGGGTCATGCAAGCAACAAAGAAGAAAGTAGCCAAGCGTCATGGCAGGCAACCAGAAAGTAGTCAGATGTGGGCAGGGGTCGTGACAGGCAACAAAGTAGTCAGGCCCAAGCAGGGGTCTTGACATGCAACATACAATAAAGTAGTCTGCCATGACCCCTGCCTGGACCCGATGACTATATTGTTGCCTGTCAAGACCCCTGCTTGGACCTGGCTACTTTGTTGCCTGCAATGACCCCTGCCCACATCTGGCTTCTTTCTTGTTGTTTGCCATGACCGCTGCCTGGACCAGACTACTTTATTGTTTGTTTGTTGCCTGTCATGACCCATGCTTGGGCCTGACTACTTTGTTTGTTGTACAAGTATGGGGGAAGGGTTGTCACTGCTGTACAAGTATGGGGGAAGTGTTGTCACTGCTGTACAAGTATGGGGGAAGTGTTGTCACTGCTGTACAAGTATGGGGGGAAGTGTTGTCACTGCTGTACAAGTATGGGGGAAGTGTGTTCATTGCTGTACATGTATGGGGGAAGTGTGTTCATTGCTGTACATGTATGGGGGAAGGGTTGTAGGATCCGTGTATTCATCCATACTATTCCAGTGTCAGTGTCCTGGGGGCTCCAGTAAAAGATCCCTGTACACTCCCGGCTCTACCCAGACTTGGAATTGCCAAAAAGAAATGACCTCAAGGACCTGGACTGTGGATGCCGTGCTCAGTAATGGCAGGCAGAGGACAAAGGATCACCAGTATTGCTTGTGGTCTCCCAGTAGCAGATCTTTCCCCATAACTGGCTTGCCATGCTTTGTTCTGCACTGTGTCTCTGCTTGGAGGCGGCCATCTTGATATAAGAGCAGGGCTTTGCTTCCTTATGTCAGAGCTGCCCCTCCTCCTGATGACTTGTAATCTGGTAATTGGTGGGTTAATGATAGAGCTGGAAGAAGCACCAATCCACAGAACAAATGGAGCGGAAGCAAGGAGATCCTTGCACTGCAGCTCCTCAGGTACAGCTTCCTCTCCAGGAAGGAGAACGGTCATCGGCACAGCAATGTCACCACTGAATCTCACTCCAAGTCTGAGACCAGTAGACGGACAGCAGTGCCTTCGGTGATCTCACACTGCAGACATACAGAACAGGAGTGTCCATATTATTGCTGAACACTTCTAGATGTTCCCTATAAAGTACTGCATTTTATTTTTTATTGTCTCCACTTTAACCACCTCCCGCCCGACATATAGTCCAATGACGGGCGCAAGGCGGTTCTCTCGTTCTGGGAGGACGTCCTCCCATTCTCACTGCACATGCGCGGCTCAGGGAGCATGCAGCGCGGTGATCGGCAGTGCGCTGTATCCCTAGGACACAGAAGATCACTGATTAACAGAAAGAGCTGAAGATGTCGGCTCGGTCATGTGATCAGCTATGTCCAATCACATCTGATCACATGTAAATAAGGAAATGCCGATTATCGGCATTCCTCTCCTCTTGAGCTGTCGCGCTGACAGAGGAGGGGAGAGGAGAGCTGGTAATCGGCTTTCCGCGGAGGGGACATGTACACTGATCATCAGAGCACTGATGATCAGTGTGGCCCCAGAAGTGACACCTGTCAGTGCTCATCAGTGTCAGCAGTCATTGCTCATCAGTGCCCATCTGAGCTGCCTTTCAGTGTCACCCATCAATGCCAGTCAGTGCCACCTACCAGTGCCGCCTCATCAGTGCCCATCACTGCAGCCTCATTAGCACACATCAGTGAAGGAGAAAAAATCACTTATTTACAAAATTATATAACAAAAACTAAGAAAAAAATAAAAAACCCAGAAGTGATTAAATATCACCAAAATAAAGCTTTATCTGTCACAAAAAAATGATAAAAATTTCATATGGGTACAGTGTTGCATGACTGCGCAATTGTCACTCAAAGTGTGATAGTGCTGAAAGCTGGAAATTGGCCTGGGGGGGGGGGTAGAAGTGTCCTGTAGGCAGGAAGGGGGTAGAAGTGTCCTGTAGGCGGGAAGGGGGTAGAAGTGTCCTGTAGGCGGGAAGGGGGTAGAAGTGTCCTGTAGGCAGGAAGGGGGTAGAAGTGACCTGTAGGCAGGAAGGGGGTAGAAGTGTCCTGTAGGCGGGAAGGGGGTAGAAGTGCCCTGTAGGCGGGAAGGGGGTAGAAGTGTCCTGTAGGCGGGAAGGTGGTAGAAGTGTCCGGTAGGCAGGAAGGGGGTAGAAGTGCCCGGTAGGCAGGAAGGGGGTAGAAGTGTCCTGTAGGCAGGAAGGGGGTAGAAGTGCCCGGTAGGCAGGAAGGGGGTAGAAGCGCCCTGTAGGCAGGAAGGGGGTAGAAGCGCCCGGTGGGCAGGAAGGGGGTAGAAGCGCCCTGTGGGCGGGAAGGGGGTAGAAGCGCCCTGTAGGCGGGAAGGGGGTAGAAGCGCCCTGTGGGCGGGAAGGGGGTAGAAGAAGCGCCCTGTAGGCGGGAAGGGGGTAGAAGCGCCCTGTAGGCGGGAAGGGGGTAGAAGCGCCCTGTAGGCAGGAAGGGGGTAGAAGCGCCCTGTAGGCAGGAAGGGGGTAGAAGCGCCCGGTGGGCAGGAAGGGGGTAGAAGCGCCCTGTAGGCAGGAAGGGGTAGAAGCGCCCTGTAGGCAGGAAGGGGGTAGAAGCGCCCTGTAGGCAGGAAGGGGGTAGAAGCGCCCTGTAGGCAGGAAGGGGGTAGAAACGACCGGTGGGCGAGGGGTTTTTAAAGTAAAACTATAAGCAAAACTTTTTCATTTGGATGGAGTATGGGAGGGGACGAACCTGTCAGATTTTTTGCCATCTGTGTCCCATTGGGGAGAATTCCCTTCACTTCCTGTCTCATAGCCAAACAGGAAGTGAGAGGAAATCCCTGTAAATGAGGGGAATCCCTCGGGGACCCCCAAGGTCACCAGAACTGGCGTCCCCATTGGAAGATTTTCCCTCTGTTACGTTTCTGGGGACATCCCAACATTTGGGCCCCTATAATATTTCTGATCGTTGGATTTGTGGGGTTGTTGTTGGGAAGCAGGTTCCCCTTTTACATTTAACCGCGACTTCTCTCTGTTTAGGTTGAGAATTTCTTCTGCATGGGATCGCCTTTAGCGGTCTTCTTGGCGCTGCGCGGCATCCGTCCCGGAAATAGCGGGAAACTCAAGATCATATTTTGCCTCGAGCCATTTGTAACCGTTTGTTTAATATCTTTCACCCAGCAGACCCAGTGGTAAGTGGCGGCTCCTCTTATTGGATACAGCAGGGGGCGCTCTGCTCATTAAAGGCAGCCAATCACATCAGGGCTAATGTCCCCGTATACAGCCTTGCCTATCCCATATCTACACCGATCAGCCACAACATTATGACCACCCACCTAATATGGAGTAGGTCCACCTTTCCTGACCCGTCTCACAAAGGTACGTCGGGGTCTCTGGCACCAAGACGTCAGCAGCAGATCCTTGAAGTCCTGTAAGTTGGGAGGCGGGGCCTAAATGGGTCAGACTTGTTTTTCTAGCTTATCCCACAGATGCTCGATTAGATTAAGATCTGGAGAATTTGGAGGCCAAGTCAACACATCAAACGCGGTGTTGTGTTCCTCAAACCATTCTTGAATTCATCAAACCAGGACACCTTCTTTATGCTTCAGTTCTGATGCTCAGTGCCCACTTTTGGCTGTGGATACGGGTCAGCATGGGCACCCTGACCGGTCTTCGGCTACACAGCCCCCGTCAATGAGTCCTCTCTCCCCACCCCCCATCAGTGAGTCCTCTCTCCCTCTCACCCACCCCATCAGTGAGTCCTCTCTCCCTCTCACCCACCCCCATCAGTGAGTCCTCTCTCTCCCTTCACAACCCCCATCAGTGAGTCCTCTCTCCCTCTCACCCACCCCATCAGTGTGAGTCCTCTCTCCCTCTCACCCACCCCATCAGTGAGTCCTCTCTCCCTCTCACCCACCCCCTCAGTGAGTCCTCTCTCTCCCCTCTCACCCACCCCATCAGTGAGTCCTCTCTCCCTCTCCCTCTCACCCACCCCCATCAGTGAGTCCTCTCTCCCTCTCACCCACCCCATCAGTGAGTCCTCTCTCCCTCCCTCACCCACCCCATCAGTGAGTCCTCTCTCCCTCTCACCCACCCCATCAGTGAGTCCTCTCTCCCTCTCCCTCTCACCCACCCCATCAGTGAGTCCTCTCTCCCTCTCACCCCACCCCATCAGTGAGTCCTCTCTCCCTCTCACCCACCCCATCTGAGTCCTCTCTCCTCTCACCCACCCCATCAGTGAGTCCTCTCTCCCTCTCACCCCCCCCCATCAGTGAGTCCTCTCTCCCTCTCACCCCACCCCATCAGTGAGTCCTCTCTCCCTCTCCCTCTCACCCACCCCATCAGTGAGTCCTCTCTCCCTTCACCCCCCACCCCATCAGTGAGTCCTCTCTCCCTCTCACCCACCCCCATCAGTGAGTCTCTCTCCCTCCCTCTCACCCCCCCATCAGTGAGTCCTCTCTCCCTCTCACCCACCCCATCAGTGAGTCCTCTCTCCCCTCTCACCCACCCCATCAGTGAGTCCTCTCTCCCTCTCACCCACCCCATCAGTGAGTCCTCTCTCCCTCTCACCCCCCCATCAGTGAGTCCTCTCTCCCTCTCACCCCCCCCCCCCATCAGTGATGTCCCTCTCGCCCCCCCCCCACCCCCCCCCCCCCCCCCAATCAGTGAGTCCTCTCACCCCCCCTCTCCCCCCCCCCCCCTATCAGTGAGTCCTCTCACCCCCCCCCCCCCATCAGTGAGTCCTCTCTCCCCCTCGCCCCCCCCCCCCATCAGTGAGTCCTCCTCCCTCTCGCCCCCCCCCCCCCATCAGGGAGTCCTCTCTCCTCTCGCCCCCCCCCCCCCCCATCAGTGAGTCTCTCTCCCCCCCCCCCCCCCATCCCATCAGTGAGTCCTCTCGCCCCCCCCTCCCCATCAGTGAGTCCTCTCGCCCCCCCTCCCCATCAGTGAGTCCTCTCTCGCCCCCCCTCCCCCATCAGTGAGTCCTCTCGCCCCCCCTCCCCATCAGTGAGTCCTCTCGCCCCCCCTCCCCATCAGTGAGTCCTCTCGCCCCCCCATCAGTGAGTCCTCTCGCCCCCCCCTCTCCCCCCCCTCCCCCATAAGTGAGTCCTCTCGCCCCTCCCCCCCCCCCCACCATCAGTGAGTCCTCTCGCGCCCCCCCCCCATCAGTCCTCTCTCCCTCTCTCCCCCCCCCCATCAGTCCTCTCTCCCTCTCGCGCCCCCCCCCCCCCCCATCAGTGAGTCCTCTCTCCCTCTCGCCGCCCCCCCCATCAGTGGGCCTCTCGCCCCTCCCCCCCATCAGTGAGTCCTCTCGCCCCCCCCATCAGTGAGTCCTCTCTCCCTCCCGCCCCCCCATCAATGAGCCTTGAAGTTCCTCAGCACCTGGAGGGCCATAGTTTGGAGACCCCTAGACATTAGTTTGGTTCTTGTCGAAGTCCCTCCAGTCCTCCATTTTGTCCACGTTTTTTCTTCTTTCAACACATCAACTTCAGGGACGGCCTGTTCACTTGCTGCCTAATATATCCCGCCCACGTTCAGATATCGTTGTAATGACATTGTTTTCCCGTTATCTATCAGCAGTCGGAATGCTGTGGCTGATCGGTGTATATTCTGCCCTATATACCTCCATTTCCTGTGATTGGCTGCGGTGTCATTGCCTTATAAAATGTTATGCACACCCAAAAGCTGGGAAACAGTATGTTGTCAGCCAAGTGAAGGGGGTGGCAAGTGTCAAACCGCCAGCGAGCCCAGGCATGGAGCATGAGCAGTCAGATTTATAGGAACGGCAGAGGAAGTTTGGTGCAAAGCAAGCAGCATAAGGTGACTAAACGTCCCTTCCCAGCAACCCCCGCATCGGTCTTGCATCGGTCTTGCAGAGGTGTAGCCTTGGTATGTGCCATGCTCAGAGAATCCTTCCTCCCATGTCATGGCCCCCATGCCTGGCATTGAGAGCTGGATTGTGGGGGAGTGTCGCATACCCCCGGAGGCCCCAGGTCATTCCTCCGGCTCCAGTGGTGGTTGGGGACAGCGGGTGATCTTGCATACAGTCACCTGGACAACACTTATATGAGCAGCCAATCACCAACATGGTCATATGGGGGCTGGGAAGGTCCTGAATCTCGTAAACTCTAAACGACACTTTCCATTTTCTCATACAGGAGGACTAAATGTAAGAACTGAGAGGGGGGAGTTGGTAACGGGTTGCTTTGCATGGGTGAAGCACAGGTTCTTTTTAAAGAGGACCGGTCACCTGCCCATTCACTGCCATGGCCAAGGTTACAAGGTCTCCATAGGATCCATATCCACCTGTTCTGGGATCCAGCAGAGGACACGGAACAGTCTTATACTGTATAGAAGATTTATCCGGAGCAGATTTACAACACAGGAAATGTTTCACCTTTTGGGTTATACTGCCGCCTACAGGAGGATTAGACACTAGCAAACAAGACTGCAGGGCGGGCCTAGGATAACCCCTCCCCCTACCAGCCTGCCTCGGTTTATTGCTAGTGTCCTAGGAGGATGGACGTCTCTTCTTCAGCTCTGCTGTGTTAGACTATTTTTTTTCTAGAACGTTTTCCTTTTTCTTTTTTTTTCTCAGTCAAGACCCCTCTCTACATCTCTGCTAGAGTTTTGTCCTTTTTTTACTGCTGCTCTTCAGTGCGGTCATCCTAGCTTGGCTTTTGGAGTACCGCTTCCGGACATTACAGGGCTAGCCTGGAAGTGATCTTGGGTTCATGTTGTGCCGCTTTTCAGACACCAATACGGGTAAAAGCTGCGTAGGGTTTTCCAAGGCCATGGCATTGCCCTGACTCTGACCCGCCTGATTGGACTGAACACAGGGACCGACCTTGTTTGCACCGTTAGGGAGCTTTTGGAATTTTTCTACCTCCAGTTTCACCACCAAAGAGGATAACGCAGGATGCTGATGTCATATGGAGTGTGGAATCTTTCCCATCATTTAGAAAGCATTGCCCCTTAGACCCCCCCCCCAGGTCTTGAGCAGTTGCTGTGGGCCCTAGTGGGCATAATCCTCCCAAAGGGTTTAATGTAATATCCAGATTTGACCTTGCCAGGGTTTAGCATGGAGGTATCTCCTTTTTTTCACCTTATCTCAATCCACCTCAGCTACTTCCCCTGTTATTGTGGGTCTAGTTCAGGTTCAGTCCAAGGTGTCTGTCTCTGAGGACCACATAGTTCCTCATAGGCTCACCCAGCTGTTTACTGTGGTGGCTGTTACGAACTTCTCTCCTCATTTCCAGGAGATTCTTTTCATTGAATTGTTTTATTTGGGGCAGGATTCTGATATCCAGGTAATGATGGTTCCTGCTTCTTTGTGGGATTCTGCTCTAGGTAGTTCTCCTGGCTTGGACAACTTGGGACACCATCTGCTGGGTCTTCTCCTTATGGAAGCCAAAGGAGTCCTTCCTATGTCAGGAGATTAGCCTAGTTCTGTTTGTGGATGGTATTATGGGTTTCAGTCCTTTCCACATTGATACCCCCTAGAAACCAGTTCTTTCCATATTCTGGACATGGGAGTGTAAGGTTCTCTTACCTACATCTCAGACTCATGTGAGGGATGTCGGAGGTGGGCCCTCTGTCTCCCTGGGCTTTCTCTGGGCAGAACAGAATAGCCTTCTGCTGCTGGTATCATCCATTGGGAACATGCGACTCAATTGAACCCATCCAAACATCTCTGTTGGTGGATCTGCAGATACTTGGAGGCCTTTCTTGCACCAGTCCCTGCCCTGGATTTACTCAGGCAAGTTTTCTTTGCTGTCCTGATAAGGCTCCCATCCATGTTTCATGATTCCTAGTGCTTGAGTAGATTTCAGCAGTCTGGAGCATTCTTTGCCCTGTGATTCTTTGTATCAGGGTTAGTCAAGGTCCGTTTCAGTAGGGTCTTCTAGAACTTCCTTTGGTGATGCCTCACTGGTGAGTGTCTAGCTTATTCCTACCTCCATCATCAGGGATGAAACCCATCTCACCAGGTTATGGTTAGACTCCTTATCTTTCCTGCCCGTACTTGTTGGAGTGATACACCTACCCCTTCAGTCGTGATTCTTCACCTTGACTAGGTCTCCTGATATGGACTGTCACTCGAGTAAGGGTTTAGACCAACAGGTCTCGTCCTACAAGGACCTTCTTCCCAGCTCCCTTGCCTGGTACCTGTTTCCACCAGTAACTTGTTCCATTCCATGTTACTGGTGTTGATTGTTTTTCCCTCCCAATTGGGAATGTAACTATTGTTACACCTCTTGGTGGGTCCAGGTTGTCCAGCTTCTTGCTTGGCCTATAGTTCAGTGCTTCTCTCAGTGTTGAGTCCTTACTCTGCGGTGCATGACTGTTTTTTCTTGGTCTTGGGCATCAGATTGATGCTCCGTAACCTCCCTCTGGTTTCTTGACAGGTGTCCCTATCGGGAAGGGGATTCTGCCTCTTCTGGTGCCAGTTTCAGGTGCTCCTCATTCAGGTGGCTTTTGGGCTTCAAGCAGTCACTAGTTCTGATTTGTTGGGTATTTTATTCTGTTGCAGATTGAGCTGCTTTTGGACATCCCCACAGTATATGACTCCTCTGTGCCTTTCAATCGACAGAAAGGAAAGTGGAATTTTGTAATCCCCTTAAAATCCCTTCGATTCCATTGAGGGCCACAAGTCCCACCATTCAAACCTGACTTGCTGGGAGGAGGAACAGTTATGAGCTAGCCTAGACTTTTTGTTTGCCAGTGTCCAAATCCTCCCATAGGTGGCAGTATAACCCAAAAGTACAGTATATTACTTCCTGTGTCTCTCAATGGACTCCAGGAAAAGGATTTTATGGTAAGTACAAAATTCCTATTATGGGACGCATCATCATAGAGTGTTATAGAGCGACTAATGTGGCATCAATTTGTAGGTATGGATAATCGGTCTGAACTCCTCCTGACCTCTGTGGTTCTCCCCAGGCCTACAGATTGGAACCATTAATACTGAAGCACTACAACAACATCTCACCAGTCCAGATCCACTCCTCCAACACCACCAACCCCGTCCCTTACAAACAGATGAGACGGTTCTCATCAACCCATCCAAAGATACTACCTCAGTGTCCGACACCGAAAGCATACCGAGTCCCAGCACATCGCCGGTTCTGCCTCGACGGCACTACGGAGAGTCCATAACTAACATCGGCAAAGCCAGTATATTAGGTGAGTGTTTGCGATGACTCCCAGGATGCATTGTGTGGGGATTGGTGCTCTATTATCAGATAAGAGTATTAGCGGGAAAAGTCCGTGCCAACCCAACGCCAGCAAAACGTTTTGTGGTCCCTCCGTACACGGGATTCTTCTGCCAGGGTCCGTCCGTACACAAGATTCCCTCCCCAGGGTCCGTCCGTACACGGGATTCCCTCCCCAGGGTCCGTCCGTACACGGGATTCCCTCCCCAGGGTCCGTCCGTACACGGGATTCCCTCCCCAGGGTCCCCTCCGTACACGGGATTCCCTCCCCCAGGGTCTCCTCCGTACACGGGATTCCCTCCCCCAGGGTCCCCTCCGTACACGGGATTCCCTCCCCCAGGGTCCCCTCCGTACACGGGATTCCCTCCCCCAGGGTCCCCTCCGTACACGGGATTCCCTCCCCCAGGGTCCCCTCCGTACACGGGATTCCCTCCCCCAGGGTCCCCTCCGTACACGGGATTCCCTCCCCCAGGGTCCCCTCCGTACACGGGATTCCCTCCCCCAGGGTCCCCCCTCCGTACACGGGATTCCCTCCCCCAGGGTCCCCCCTCCGTACACGGGATTCCCTCCCCCAGGGTCCCCCCTCCGTACACGGGATTCCCTCCCCCAGGGTCCCCCCTCCGTACACGGGATTCCCTCCCCCAGGGTCCCCCCTCCGTACACGGGATTCCCTCCCCCAGGGTCCCCCCTCCGTACACGGGATTCCCTCCCCCAGGGTCCCCCCTCCGTACACGGGATTCCCTCCCCCAGGGTCCCCCCTCCGTACACGGGATTCCCTCCCCCAGGGTCCCCCCTCCGTACACGGGATTCCCTCCCCCAGGGTCCCCCCTCCGTACACGGGATTCCCTCCCCCAGGGTCCCCCCTCCGTACACGGGATTCCCTCCCCCAGGGTCCCCCTCTCCGTACACGGGATTCCCTCCCCCAGGGTCCCCCCTCCGTACACGGGATTCCCTCCCCCAGGGTCCCCCCTCCGTACACGGGATTCCCTCCCCCAGGGTCCCCCCTCCGTACACGGGATTCCCTCCCCCAGGGTCCCCCTCCGTACACGGGATTCCCTCCCCCAGGGTCCCCCCTCCGTACACGGGATTCCCTCCCCCAGGGTCCCCCCTCCGTACACGGGATTCCCTCCCCCCAGGGTCCCCCCTCCGTACACGGGATTCCCTCCCCCAGGGTCCCCCCTCCGTACACGGGATTCCCTCCCCCAGGGTCCCCCCTCCGTACACGGGATTCCCTCCCCCAGGGTCCCCCCTCCGTACACGGGATTCCCTCCCCCAGGGTCCCCCTCCGTACACGGGATTCCCTCCCCCAGGGTCCCCCCTCCGTACACGGGATTCCCTCCCCCAGGGTTCCCTCCGTACACGGGATTCCCTCCGCCAGGGTCCCCTCCGTACACGGGATTCCCTCCCTCTTACACAAAAGGGTACCGCCTTGCATGAGGGTGTGTCTCCCCCCCCACCACTACCACCAGCATTCCCCCCTCCCCAGAGGGCTGCACAAAATCTTGCAGTGAGTTGGATTTGGCCCTTGGGAAGCCGTTTTGGAGCCCCTGCTGTAAAGAATATGCAAACCTTAGAAAAAAAAAAAAAATAACAATGTTGCCTTTTTTTCGTTTAGTTCTCCTTCAGTTTGCATTGGAGCTCACATGGCAGGCTGGCAACTCTGCGACTAAATGAAAATCAGTGGCTTAGTGTTGTCGGCCTGTCATGGGAAGTGCTGTTACCGGCAGAATCGCCCGCGTGACGGCAAAACATCCTGGAAGGCCGATTGAGGGGATTGCATAGACCGTGAATGAGACATCCTGCATAATCTTTTCCTGCCACTAGATGGCGGTCCGTGCCTGTGTGTCATTGTGTGTCTCTTCCTGCAGGGGCCGCCAGCATCGGGAAGGGTCTGGGGGGAATGCTCTTCTCAAGATTTGCACGTTCTAGTGCAGCCAACTATGAAGTAAAAGAAACTGCCGAAGGGGAGGACAAAAAACCATTACAAAGCCAGAGCACCACCACGACGGCGACGACCCAGACGCTTCCGCACAGCGTCTCCGGATCTCTGGACTCCGCAGGTTGGTTTTAGTGTCATCCACTGTAGATGGTGCAGGGAGAGCGCCCCCTCCCTTCTCTCCCCCATGGGGGCCGGGGGGGCAACAAGACGAAGCTGGGTGTACGCTTATAGAGCTGAGGACCTTCTCCCCACCCCACCTGGCTTACCGGCCAATGAGTAAACAATGTCCGCCTCCCTGACCGGCCAATGAGTAAACACTGTCCCGCCTCCCTGACCGGCCAATGAGTAAACGCTGCCCCGCCTCCCTGACCGGCCAATGAGTAAACACTGCCCCACCTCCCAGACCGCCCAATGAGTTAACCATGCCCCGCCTCCTTGACCGCCAATGAGTTAACCATGCCCCGCCTCCCTGACCGCCCAATGAGTAAACACTGCCCTGCCTCCGAATAAACACTGCCCCGCCTGCCTGACCGGCCAGTGAGTATACGCTGCCCCACCTGCCCAACTGCGCTAATGAGTATACGCTGCCCCTCCTTCCTGACTGGCCAATGAGTATACAAACCCCCCCCACGCCTGACCGGAAAAAGTGTATACATTGCCACAGTGGGGTGGGGGGCGGAGTTCATACTTATATTTGGTATTGTATGCTCCTGGCAGCTGAATGGAGCGGTGGGAGAGCGAAGGGACCATGTGCTGGTATTGGGGTCACCAATAAAGTAATCCTGCCTGTCCTGGACAAGTAAAGTTCAGGGGTACACATTAGGATGAGCTACATATCCATTACCCCTTCTACCGCCATCGCCATCAGGCTTGCAGTGGTGTCAGTGGGAGGGGCTACACACACTTCTGGAAGAAGCTAATGGAGTGAGATCTGTTCGCCATTAGCTTCAATGGAAGGCGGGTGACACCTTAGCGGCTCAAAAGACCCCGGAACGTCTTATTAAAGAGAACCTGTCTTTAAAAAATAAAATTTATTTTTTGTCCCGTGAGATAAAATAGTGAAAGTTTAACCATTAAAGCCAAAAGACGGCTACGGGGCGGTCATGCAGTTTTGGGAGGACCTCTGTGCACGTCTGTTTACTCGTGTTTTTGCCATGGTTAGCGGTTTTTGGCCAAAACTTTCCTCTGTTGAAGGAGACTATTCTGCATTCAGAAGAAGAAGGTTTGATCTATCTCTGCACTGATGGACCAGTATGGGGCCCTGATGGGGCTTTTTAAGTCTGTGACACCTATAGGGCACTGAACATAGGTGGTGTTTTGCGGGCGCACACAGATTTAAAGTTAACAAAATTAAATGTATTTTTTGCTGAAAATGTTGTCGCAATGTTGCACAAATCTCATGTGACATGAAAGAAAAAAAAATTGGGAACTGCCACTATTTTATTCTCTAGGGTGCCTGCTTTCAGAAAATATGTAGTGTTGGGGGGGTAAGAAGGGTGGGGGGTTGTAATATTCAGGCCTAAAAATAAAAAAAAATTTAAAATGTGTTGTATGAATGTCATTTGGCTCTCATAGAAGCTCATTAAACCTCCTGGCAGTTCTGCAGCCTGCACTGATGAGCCTGCCCTGATGAGCCTGCGTCTGATAACATCCGCATGTAACGTATCGGTGGTTGTTCTGGGCCGGTCCCAGTAGCCGAGGAAATGATCTCAGTGTTTGGACTCGGCCCAGTATTGTCTCTTTTGTTAAGATTCTCATCAGATGTGCAAGTCATCCATTCAGAGCGTTGTGCGCGGTCGTCCTCGCTGGGAAAGTCGTCCTACAGACGAAGGGTCTTCCAATGGCCGGGCATGGAGTCTTCTCCAGAGTCATGATGGACTTCTTCCGCTCCCGCAGATCCTGTTGTCATTTGCCGACAGCCTTCGCTTCTGATTCAGAGTCGCTCCAGGCGTTGGCTGATGAATTTGAAAATGAGCCGCAGTCTACTGCTATTACATCCAAATTAAAGCAGATATTTTCAGCTTTTTTGGTTGCCGTGAACCTCATTCTTTGACTAGAGGATCATCCTGATGCCTCTAGCTGTGTGGTCTCCATCCCTGGATCATTCTCTTCTAAGGCCACAAAGACTTTGCCTTTGCACTGACTTTGCCATCGATTTCTCTATGACATTGTTGCCATTCCCCTGTGACACCATGGGATCTGATTCTCTCTGGCCTTCAGAAATTCTCTTTGACCCATTCAAAAACTTTCCTCCTGCTCTTACCTACAGGTGGTATTTCTTGTAGCCATCACCTCTGCGGGCAAGAGTCGGATCCGGTGACCTTGTCCTACAAGAAACCTTTTCTAGTTTTGCGTAGGGACTCTTTTCAGAAGTACTGAAGGGGACATGAGATAGTTTTCTGGCTTCCATCATTGGGAGGCTCAGACAGACCATCATTATAAGCTCATGGTCTCAAGGATCTGGTTCCAACCTCTCCTGTCAAGGCTCACTCTGCTAGATCTGTGAGTTCTTGTGCTTTTTTTTAGCATCAAGAAACGGTGTCCCAGATCTCCAAGGCCTCTTTGACTAGAGGTTCATCCTGATGCCTCTAGCTGTGTGGTCTCCATCCCTGGATTATTCTCTTCTAAGGCCACAAAGACTTTCCCTTTGCACTCACTTTTCCAACAATTTCTCTATGACAAGGGTTCCAAACTGCGACTTGGAGGCCAGATGAAGGGCCCTTTGCTTCCTTTAATCTGGCCCTTGTGGCATGATTCTCCCCACTGTCAGGAACCGTGCAGCATAGTTCCTGCCAATGACACCAACAATGGGGCACTAGCCATCTCAGACGCCAGTAATGAGGCACTATGGCCTCCCACTGGTGCCAACGAAAGGGGCACTATGGCCTCCCACTGCCGCCAGGACACTTTCTTCCACTGACTACTGTCCTTCAAAGTTTAGGGAGGGCCGGACTCTCTCTTTGTTTGGAGACCCCTGCTGTATGCAGAATAAGTTATGTGCACCCCCCCCCCCCCCCCCCCCCCAAGTGCTTATTATTACCTTTGTACTGTATCTGGTGAGGATTTTGTACAGGAGTGGGTCATTCCCACTGTGGATCTAGCCATGTCCTGCTACTCCAGTAGAGGACATGCCTGTCTTCAAGGACCCAGCCGTAAAAGGGTAGGAAAGTCCTTTCCAGAGTACTATTCTTCCTGGCGGGTCCCGCCCTTCATCCAATCCAGCTGTGACTTTAATACCTGACCATGTTGAGATCAAACTACTGCTGCAGTTGATCTCTTGCTTTATGACCATGGGGAGCAGATGGATATAGAGTTAAACCTTCAGCTGGAAACCCTCGTCTCATTTCCTGTATGTTCCTCATGTTGGTACATGTGGACTGCAGAAGCTCTTGTAGGAAAAAAGTTCTTGCATGCCTGATCCTCGAGGTACAATGTCTCCTTGGACTATCTCTTGATAATATCAGGGGTGCTACTGGAGGCAAGAGCACCCACCATCCTCAGTAGAAGAAGCCTAAGGAGGAGACTGCAATGTCTATCTTGCTTTGACTGTTAGACATGTCTTTCATTTCTTCACTCCCTTGACCTTGATCTTGGGACCCCCCCAAGCTTGGCTCCCAGTCCACCCTACATGATCTTGCACCCCAAGTCTGCTGAGTCCCCATAAATGCCTCCCAACAAATGGAGGTGCGCCCTCACTTTCCTCATTTTAGGCTTTTACACGTTTCCGCAACTCAGATACTTGTGTGCAAGAAAGAAGTGGTGTTCCAGGCTTTTGTCACCCCCAGAAAGAACAGTCAATATGACTCTTTAGAACAATGTGTCTTTGACCATCTAGACATTACAGAATTTTAGATAGATTCTGAGTCTTCAGAAATTGTCACTGGAATATAAACTCCTGTTTTGGAGTTTCTGGGTCTCGTCCTGGACACAGCTTAGGCCAGAGTGTTCCTTCCACAGGAGTAACTTCAGGCTCACAGGTCTTGGATCTGAAGTCACGTGACTTTTTGCTTTTACGTGAGAGTCTTGGGCCTTATGGTAATCTTCTTTAAGAAGGACCTGTCAGAGAGGTTCTGGAACATTTCTGGATGTAGGGGGCAATTGCAGGTGAACCTGGAGACCATGAGGTCTACATCCAATCTGGATAGGTTTTTCTCCTGGTACAGGGATCATCCAGAGGAAGCATTTGATTGCTCTGGTGGCGCTGTGAGGTCCATACATCCTGATCTATGCCGTTCCTTCATTGAAACATCTTCTTCGTCTATCTCAGGGAGTTGGAAAATAAATGTAGGACATTCCTGTTACCCTTGTTGCCCTGGGCAGGTCCTGGTGGATGTTGTACGCTGACCTGGTTAAACTCTACTGAACTCTTCATGGACACGTCCAGATTTTCAGGATCTTCTATCCCAAGGGCTGATTTGCCATCCTGCTTCATGGATGCTAGATTCAATGGTCTTGACTTTTGAAGCCCAGGTTCTAAGGGACATGGTCACCTTGCAGTTTGTGATTTTCTTCTATGCTAATGGATAGGAAGTCTACTTTCTGCAAGGACTCTCATCTGACATTGAAGGCATACTTCACTTGTGGTGAGTCAGGCTACTGCCCTTTCTATTCTCTTTCGAAAACTGCGGACCTCTTACCAGGATTGAGCTTTTGTACTGAGGTCTCCCATGAAGCACTCCACTGCCATTCCCCTGTGACACCATGGGATCTGATTCTCTCTGGCCTTCAGAAATGCTCTTTGACCCATTCAAAACTTTGCTCCTTCTACTCTCACAGGTGGTATTTCTTGTAGCCATCACCTCTGTGGGCAAGAATCAGAGCCGGTGACCTTGTCCTGCAAGAGTTCTTGTGCTTTTTTGTTTTTTTTTTTTTAGCATCAAGCAACGATGTCCCAGATATCCCAGGCTGCCCTATTGATGCAGGTGGCCCCCTGGACTGTTTTTTTTTGCTTCTTGAGTCTGTTGACATTAGTTTGCTGTTTCTCACCAATTCGTTGAACCAATCCTTAGTTGTGATAGCCGCAGTTTTTTTCAGGCTTGGAACGTTTTCAGTCATTACAGAAATTGAATTGACCAGAATTTGTGTCTTTGTCACTTCCAGTTCACTGAAATAATGTCATCGGTTTTCCTAGTTCTCTTTTATGAGCTACAAAAGAACACCTACCTACGTATTAGAGCAGCCATTCTCATCCAAGGTTCCTGCAGAGATTGATAGGGGTTCCTTGAGCTGGTTGTGATTGACCAGCCAATGGTGCCCGCAAGGTTCCAGGACCAACACCACTTGGCGAAAGAGAGACAACCAACGGTCTTTTTAGCTCTCTGTGGCATTTACCACCACTGTAATGGGGCATTTTTATTATTGGCCACCAGCGTAACGGGCATTCTAGCCATTGACACCTAATGAATTGGTTTTTGGTAAGGATTCCCCAAGACCTGAAAATTTATTTTAGGGGTTCCTCTGAATAAAAAAAGGCTGAGAGAGGCTGTATTAGAGGGAGGAAATGGATTTTAGTCCAAATTAGAGGGTGGAGTAGGGTGACAACACTGGTCTTCTATGCCAGGGGTCTCCAAGCTTTCTAAACAAAGGGCCAGTTTACTGTGCTTCATACTTTAGGGGGCCTGGACTGTGGCCAATGGGGGGACCAAATGTCCTGGTAGCAGTGGGAGTCTCATCTTCTGTATTAGGGGAATTATTTGTGCCCCCCTTGTGGGTGTCGGTGGGAGGAACGGTGCCCCCCCTTTGTGGGTGTCGGTGGGGGAACGGTGCCCCCCCTTTGTGGGTGTCGGTGGGAGGAACGGTGCCCCCCCCTTTGTGGGTGTCGGTGGGAGGAACGGTGCCCCCCCCTTTTGTGGGTGTCGGTGGGAGGAACGGTGCCCCCCCCTTTGTGGGTGTCGGTGGGAGGAACGGTGCCCCCGCTTTGTGGGTGTCGGTGGGAGGAACGGTGCCCCCGCTTTGTGGGTGTCGGTGGGAGGAACGGTGCCCCCCCTTTGTGGGTGTCGGAGGGAGGAACGGTGCCCCCCCTTTGTGGGTGTCGGAGGGAGGAACGGTGCCCCCCCTTTGTGGGTGTCGGTGGGAGGAACGGTGCCCCCCTTTGTGGGTGTCGGTGGGAGGAACGGTGCCCCCCTTTGTGGGTGTCGGTGGGAGGAACGGTGCCCCCCTTTGTGGGTGTCGGTGGGAGGAACGGTGCCCCCCTTTGTGGGAGGAACGGTGCCCCCCTTTGTGGGAGGAACGGTGCCCCCCTTTGTGGGAGGAACGGTGCCCCCCTTTGTGGGAGGAACGGTGCCCCCCTTTGTGGGAGGAACGGTGCCCCCCTTTGTGGGAGGAACGGTGCCCCCCTTCGTGGGTGTCGGTGGGAGGAACGGTGCCCCCCTTCGTGGGTGTCGGTGGGAGGAACGGTGCCCAAAGGGCCACAGCTTAGAGACCACTGCTCTGTACATACAGTACAGTGAGTGAGTGTTGTCACCCTAGGACAGGAAGTGTAGTACTGGTGGGAATCACTGGGTGGGAAGGGTGGGTGGTAAGCTGCAATATAATCTATTTTTGGTTTTGGGGTTAGACCCTCTAAATGACCTAAACTCCTCTGTCCCCCCCTCCCCGCCTGTCCTTAGCGGTATGAAGAGCGATATTGTAATCGTGTTACTTTTCATTCTTTCAGCGGTGGAGTTGGAGAACCGGATCGATTTTGAGCTGCGAGAGGGATTGGTGGAGAGCAGATACTGGTCGGCCATGACGTCGCACACCGCGTACTGGTCCTCCATGGACGTTGCACTTTTCCTTCTGACATTCTTGTACAAAGAAGCCCAGTTGGAGGAAGAAGACAAGCTGGGGGTAGAGGAGGTGTAGAGGTGTCACTGAGCGCCGGAGCTGCTGAGAGAACGGAGCCCGTTGGGGAACATGGCCGTGATTCGTGCGTGTGTGGATGTTGTTCCGTTTTCGCAGCGCGCCGTTGATGACCAGCCGATTCCGTGTGTCGCTCCGCCTTCTCATCCTCCATCTTATTCCAGCAGTAGATCCTTAAAGGGCAACACCCCCATCCTGACATATGCAGCACGCCGAGGCGGGACCATGAAAAGGAGCGGCGTTGTACGCAGGCGCGGTGGGCGCCGGTCACGCGTCACGTTTTGTTGGTGTGAAAAGTGGAGCCGTCCTCTGCGAGGAGCAAAAATATAAAAGGTTTCCACAAGTTTTAATGTGCAGCTGAGATTAGTTATTTGTTCTTTATGTAACGTCTGTATGGCGCTGGTAAGATGGCGGCGAATCCGCGACAATTGAAGAATATTTATCAGCTTCCTGCAGCAAGGGGGGGGGGTCCGGGGTCCCTAAAGCTGAACTGCAGGCAGATTGAGATCCAGAGATCAAATACCTATGAAGGAGCATTGGATTTCTGTCCATCCAGTTCTGAAATCTATACTGCTCTGTTACTTAGCACTTCCTCTATTGTAGAAGAAATATATTGGTGTCCTTCCTCCACCGCCGGCCAGTAGAAAGAGCAGCAGATGACTTATGAGGTCATCTTTCTGCTCTCTCTTCCAATCAGCATCTCCCTTGACTGCCTTTCCTTTTCTCAGTCTGAGTGCTGCTGTACAGGGCCTACAAGACTCTCCGATCTCTGTTCACTCTGCATTGCGAAGTCATTCGTTGGAGGAGGGGAGTCCCAGTCTTTTCAGAGAGGACACATCCGATCCCACTGGCTTTGATACCATAAAATACGCACAAAAAGAAAATGGAACCCAAAGCAAAACTGCTGTAAAAATATATTTTTAAAAAGATAAAGTAGATTTTCCTGCAGTGCTCTCCTTTAATCTGGAGCTGTCCCCTGCAGTATCTGTTCCTGCCAGTAGATGTCCTCAGTCTTATGGGTTTACTGACATCCATCATTATTCAGCTCACTTCCTGAGAACCCAGGCTGTCATTGGCCCGCCCCCCCAGCCTGTAATTGGACAGTGAGAAGCACTACAGTGGTGAGCTCAGCTGTCACTCTGCTCTCTCCTCCTATCAGCATGCTCCATGGCAGTACTTTACTATTATACAGGATGTGTAGCACCAACAGTTTGCCCAGCACTTTACAGACTAAAGGGGGGCAGTACATAAATTGGTAGATCTTCTCCCTCCCCCAGTCTGAGCTGTGCTGTACAGGGACTGCATGGAGCTGATACCGGGTCACATTCAGGTACTTAGACTGTTTGCAATGACAAGTCACAGAGCATTGATGTCAATGGCGCCCCTTCCAATCGGTGCGACTTACAATCCGTGCCTGCACTGCTGTGATCCGGACGAAGCTGCACTCTGAATCATGTGACTTTGGAGCCGCTCTAGTGGGGGTGGAGCCTTCATGTCGTATTTGTGTCTCTTCTATCTGCCTGGAGCTCAGCTTTGAGGCTGGAAAGTTGGCTACAAGGACTGAGGCTTTGCCCTCTGGAGGGTGGGGTGACCCCCTGTGCCCCAATATACACACATGGGGTGACCCCCCTGTGCCCCAATATACACACATGGGGTGACCCCCCTGTGCCCCAATATACACACATGGGGTGACCCCCCTGTGCCCCAATATACACACATGGGGTGACCCCCTGCGCCCTAATATACACACGAGGTGATTGCCCTGCGCCCCTGTATACAAATGGGGTGACCCCCCCCCACCCCTGTGCCCCAGTATACACACATGGGGTAACTCCCCCCTGCACCCCTGTATACAGGGGGTGACCCCCCCCCTGCGCCCCTGTATACACAGGGGGTGACCCCCCTGCGCACCAGTATACACACATGGGGTGACCCCCGCGCCCCTGTAAATACACATGGGATGACTCCACTGTACCCCAGTACACACACACAGGATGACCCCCCCATGCCCCAGCATACAATCACAGGATGCAGCAGTGCATACACATGGGTCGACCCCCTGTGCTCCAATATATACACATGGTGTGACCCCCCCCCCCCCCCCCGTGCCCCAGTATACACGGGGTGACCCCCTGTGCCCGAGCATACACACATGGGTGATTCCCCCCCCCACGCCCCAGCATACACACACACACGGGGTGACCCCACACCCCAATACCTTGTTTCTGGTAATAACTGGCTTTGCAGGAATAAAACTGAAATGTAGACTTTTTTTTTTTTTTTTTTTTGCATCTTGACTGCAAATTTTTATTTATTTTCCTGTATTCAAAGAAATCAACAAAACGCGACTCCGGACCGGCGCCACCCGAATCGCTCTGCCTGCGGCTGCGGTGTACCCCATCTGTGGTGTTCCATGCAGTCTGTACAGGCTCTTGAAGTATCCACTGTGGCTAATGCAGAATGTTCTAGTTCTGCCCGGGGGGGGGGGGGGGGGTCAGTCTGCAGTGCGTTGTTGGCATAGACGAGCTTCCATGTCTTAGGGGGCGGGGCAAGGCTGCGGTTTTATCCAGATATGCGGTTAGGGGCGGAGTTCTACCCAGAACACGGTTAGCGGGAGAAATGTTTCAGTATTCTTTACTTTTGTTAGATTGGCGCATTTAGTGTACAGGAGGACAGGTTGGGGGTTGGGCTTCATAATGGTGGATTGTGATTGGCTCAGGGCCAGGCAAGTAGCTGATTTGTCTCCTCCCACTCTGACATTGACAACAATGGATACTTAAAGGTGACCTGTACTGCACCCAGCGCACCGTGCCCGCACGTAATCCTCAGAGCTCGGGAAGGGGGGGGGGGTGTATTATGCATATGCTGACTTTGGCCGAGTCAAGCTTGGGTCCGCCCACTCCTACCCTCAGGGAGGGAAGCTAAGGGCTCCTTTACATTTGCTTTTTCTCTGAAGAGCAATATGAATGCAGATTTCTCTTCAGAGAGCATTTGATAAGTGATGAGAAGGCGTTGCCCTGCTTTAGCCCCTGAACTCCTGCCCCAATCGCTGCAGCCACATGCATTACACAAGGGTTCGGGGGGCTTGCAGAGGCCCCGGTCACCTGCATGGACCATGTTCAGTGGGTGCTACACCTGCTGAAAGCAATTGGGGGGGGCGGTATAACTCCCGCTGCAGCTGTGACGCAAAGCTTTGTGGCCACGGCATGTGTACACCTCACCTGCATCTAATGGGGGCAGGAAAAATGTGGCTCAGCCCCTGGGTTTAAATGCCCCCCCAACTGCTAGTGTGAAGGAGCCCTTAGCAGATGAAGCCGGCTTTAGGGTCACCTCTTCTGAGGTCAGAGTTTGAATATCGGAGCACCAGGGTGGCCGGAGCTCTGGAGATACGGAGAGACCGGCATTTCACCGGATCACCTTCGACTGGAGTTGACTTTTGATTCGGATCACGTAGTCTGCAGAGGCTTGGGGCGGAATGTGCACAGGGACCCTCGTGTCTTACTTGGGCTCAGTTCACGCTGCCGCGACTTCTGAGACCCCCCAAGTCACATGACACGTCTAATCCCATGTCCGTCAATGAGAGCTGTCTCCGGGGAGAGCGGATATAGTGAATGCGGGGTCCGGGGAGAGCGGATATAGGGAATGCGGGGTCCGGGGAGAGCGGATATAGTGAATGCGGGGTCCGGGGAGAGCGGATATAGTGAGTGCGGGGTCTGGGGAGAGCGGATATAGTGAGTGCGGGGTCCGGGGAGAGCGGATATAGTGAGTGCGGGGTCCGGGGAGAGCGGATATAGTGAGTGCGGGGTCCGGGGAGAGCGGACGTGGCGAGTGCGGGGCCCGGGGAGAGCGGACATGGTGAGTGCGGGGTCCGGGGAGAGCGGACGTGGCGAGTGCGGGGTCCGGGGAGAGCGGACGTGGCGAGTGCGGGGTCCGGGGAGAGAGCGGACGTGGCGAGTGCGGGGTCCGGGGAGAGCGGACGTGGCGAGTGCGGGGTCCGGGGAGAGCGGACGTGGCGAGTGCGGGGTCCGGGGAGAGCGGACGTGGCGAGTGCGGGGTCCGGGGAGAGCGGACGTGGCGAGTGCGGGGCCCGGGGAGAGCAGACTAGGTGAATGCGGGGTCCGGGGAGAGCGGAGGTGGCGAGTGCGGGGCCCGGGGAGAGCGGACTAGGTGAATGCGGGGTCCGGGGAGAGCGGAGGTGGCGAGTGCGGGGTCCGGGGAGAGCGGAGGTGGCGAGTGCGGGGTCCGGGGAGAGCGGATGTGGCGAGTGCGGGGTCCGGGGAGAGCGGACGTGGCGAGTGCGGGGTCCGGGGAGAGCGGACTAGGGGAATGCGGGGTCCGGGGAGAGCGGACTAGGGGAATGCGGGGTCCGGGGAGAGCGGACGTGGTGAGTGCGGGGTCCGGGGAGAGCGGACTAGGTGAATGCGAGGTCCGGGGAGAGCGGAGGTGGCGAGTGCGGGGCCCGGGGAGAGCGGACTAGGTGAATGCGGGGTCCGGGGAGAGCGGACTAGGGGAATGCGGGGTCCGGGGAGAGCGGACGTGGCGAGTGCGGGGTCCGGGGAGAGCGGACTAGGGGAATGCGGGGTCCGGGGAGAGCGGACGTGGCGAGTGCGGGGTCCGGGGAGAGCGGACTAGGGGAATGCGGGGTCCGGGGAGAGCGGACGTGGCGAGTGCGGGGTTCGGGGAGAGCGGAGGTGGCGAGTGCGGGGCCCGGGGAGAGCAGACTAGGTGAATGCGGGGTCCGGGGAGAGCGGAGGTGGCGAGTGCGGGGTCCGGGGAGAGCGGAGGTGGCGAGGTGCGAGTGCGGGGTCCGGGGAGAGCGGACGTGGCGAGTGCGGGGTTCGGGGAGAGCGGACTAGGGGAATGCGGGGTCCGGGGAGAGCGGACTAGGGGAATGCGGGGTCCGGGGAGAGCGGACGTGGTGAGTGCGGGGTCCGGGGAGAGCGGACGTGGCGAGTGCGGGGTCCGGGGAGAGCGGACGTGGCGAGTGCGGGGTCCGGGGAGAGCGGACGTGGCGAGTGCGGGGTCCGGGGAGAGCGGACTAGGGGAATGCGGGGTCCGGGGAGAGCGGACGTGGCGAGTGCGGGGTCCGGGGAGAGCGGCCTATTGGAATGCGGGGTCCGGGGAGAGCGGACGTGGCGAGTGCGGGGTCCGGGGAGAGCGGACGTGGCGAGTGCGGGGTCCGGGGAGAGCGGCCTATTGGAATGCGGGGTCCGGGGAGAGCGGACGTGGCGAGTGCGGGGTCCGGGGAGAGCGGACGTGGCGAGTGCGGGGTCCGGGGAGAGCGGACGTGGCGAGTGCGGGGTCCGGGGTTTAGTAACATTTAAGATCGCTGAAGTGTGAACGGAGCCTCAAGCCTTTGTAGATAAAGTTGGCTGAAACCGATGTGGAGCGTGAGCTCTTCTGCCAAAAAAAGGGACCCTTATCATTTGGGTCTTTATTATTTTCTTCCCCCTTGTGGTTGGTCCCGAGGTCTCTTTTATAAAGTGGAAGGAATATTTCGGGACAAAACTTTCTGGCCCGCCGCATCCAATAACCGATTTAGAAGATTGGAGCCCCTCGGAATTGGACATGTAAAGCCTTCGTGAAGTCCCGCTGGTCCACTCCCAACCCCCAGCCTATAGTGAAGTTGCAGGCTTTTTTGGCGGGGGGGGGGGGGGGGGTGAATACCGATACAAGTCTATGGCCAGCTTTGTGAGGTCACAGATCTGCCAACCTATCATAGGCTGCCTTGTAGAGAAGGTCAGATCTCATAGGATAATGCAAAGTGCGGCCTCTCACATTAACCAATCAGAACTCGGTGACCAGTATGGGTTGGCCTTTGCTCTGCCAGAATATTAAAGGTGAGCTCAGGACAACCTCTATGGCTCCGGCCATTTCCGGCATGGCTGTAAAGTGCACCTGTCATGAGAAATGCGGGAGATCCCATCGTTGGCCTCTGTCGGTTGTGTCCAACTCCCACCACTCACGTCATTGACCGGACACGAGCATTCAGCAAACTGGAGAAAAAAACATCCAAATTCTTCGTCTGTGTGCAAGTTTCTGGATCGTCTTCTACATTTTGGAAGCCAAACAATCGTTGATAGTCAGGCAACCAGCATTTTCAGAGACAATAATGGCCGCCTAGATCCCTGTCCCATGTGCAGTATCCTGTGTGTTCTGCCTGGAAGGATCCTATCGATGTCTCTCCTGCAGGCGGTAGTGCCGGGACGGGTGAAAGTCGGCTCATTGAACTCGATGCCTTTATGTTCAGGGCGGGAACATGCAAACTCCATGCATGTCATATTCTGGAGGCAACAGAGCTCAGCCTCCACACTGCCCTGTGATGTACAATAATGTTTTGAGCTTGCCTTCACCTGCCAGGTATGGAGGAAACTTTCAATCAGACCAGCGAGACTGCCAGAAAACTAGCATTTCCTACTGGAAGTAGCCTGTGGGAGCCAACCTGTTTCTAAATCCAAAACTTTTTCCCTGAATAAAGTAAGAAATGGTTAAATTGTCGAGTTTTGGGGGGAGATTTTCTTCACTTCCTGTCCATTGACCCAACGGGAAATGAGAGAGAGTCTTTCCAAAGTGGTGGAAATGCCGCCCTGGTTGTTCCTGGAGCCAGTGTCCCCATTGGACGATTTCTTCCATGTTTGGTGAGATTGGTCACCGGGACATAGACTGCAGGAAAAACCACGCACGCGCCCAGGAGCCCCCTAGGCCTCATTCACACACAACATGCACAGAGCAGCTCATTCCTTTGCCTAAGTCTCCCTATCGGCAGCAAATGACCCAAAGAAGCTCCGGCGCCTTTTTGGGGGGCGTTGAGCTTTGTGTGGTTTTTGTTTTGGAACCCTATGGTGGGAAGGAGCCCTTATACACCGAATATATACAACCAGAGGGGGCGCTACACTCCACACGCGAAAAGGGACGAGTAATAAATGTTAGACAAAGTTATTTGTATCCATCCAATAAGCAGATTACAGAATATGTTGAGTCGTTGATGAGCGTCATTGCGTGTGTGTGCGCCCTAACATCAACGTCCTTTATAGATGACCCAGCAGGAAGGGACGGCTGCGTTGCCGATCGGTGATGGTATAGGAAGGGACGGCTGAGTTGCCGATCGGTGATGGTATAGGAAGGGACGGCTGAGTTGCCGATCGGTGATGGTATAGGAAGGGACGGCTGAGTTGCCGATCGGTGATGGTATAGGAAGGGACGGCTGCGTTACCGATCTGTGATGGTACAGGAAGGGACGGCTGCTGCGTTGCCGATCGGTGATGGTACAGGAAGGGACGGCTGCGTTGCCGATCGGTGATGGTATAGGAAGGGACGGCTGCGTTGCCGACCGGTGATGGTATAGGAAGGGACCTCTGAGTTACCGATCGGTGATGGTATAGGAAGGGACCTCTGAGTTACCGATCGGTGATGGTACAGGAAGGGACCTCTGAGTTACCGATCGGTGATGGTACAGGAAGGGACGGCTGAGTTGCCGATCGGTGATGGTATAGGAAGGCACGGCTGCGTTGCCGATCGGTGATGGTATAGGAAGGGACGGCTGAGTTGCCGATCGGTGATGGTACAGGAAGGGACGGCTGTGTTGCCGATCGGTGATGGTATAGTTAGGGATGGCTGTGTTGCCGATCGGTGATGGTACAGGAAGGGACGGCTGTGTTGCCGATCGGTGATGGTATAGGAAGGCACGGCTGCGTTGCCGATCGGTGATGGTATAGGAAGGGATGGCTGCGTTGCCGACCGGTGATGGTATAGGAAGGGACCTCTGAGTTACCGATCGGTGATGGTATAGGAAGGGACGGCTGCGTTGCCGATCGGTGATGGTATAGGAAGGGACGGCTGAGTTGCCGATCGGTGATGGTACAGGAAGGGACGGCTGCGTTACCGATCGGTGATGGTATAGGAAGGGACGGCTGCGTTGCCGATCGGTGATGGTACAGGAAGGGACGGCTGCGTTGCCGATCGGTGATGGTACAGGAAGGGACGGCTGCGTTGCCGACCGGTGATGGTACAGGAAGGGACCTCTGAGTTGCCGATCGGTGATGGTATAGGAAGGGACGGCTGCGTTGCCGATCGGTGATGGTACAGGAAGGGACGGCTGAGTTGCCGATCGGTGATGGTACAGGAAGGGACGGCTGCGTTGCCGATCGGTGATGGTACAGGAAGGGACGGCTGCGTTGCCGATCGGTGATGGTACAGGAAGGGACGGCTGCGTTGCCGATCGGTGATGGTACAGGAAGGCACGGCTGCGTTGCCGATCGGTGATGGTACAGGAAGGGACGGCTGCGTTACCGATCGGTGATGGTATAGGAAGGGACGGCTGCGTTGCCGATCGGTGATGGTACAGGAAGGGACGGCTGCGTTGCCGATCGGTGATGGTACAGGAAGGGACGGCTGCGTTGCCGACCGGTGATGGTACAGGAAGGGACCTCTGAGTTGCCGATCGGTGATGGTATAGGAAGGGACGGCTGCGTTGCCGATCGGTGATGGTACAGGAAGGGACGGCTGAGTTGCCGATCGGTGATGGTACAGGAAGGGACGGCTGCGTTGCCGATCGGTGATGGTACAGGAAGGGACGGCTGCGTTGCCGATCGGTGATGGTACAGGAAGGGACGGCTGCGTTGCCGATCGGTGATGGTACAGGAAGGCACGGCTGCGTTGCCGATCGGTGATGGTACAGGAAGGGACGGCTGCGTTGCCGATCTGTGATGGTACAGGAAGGGACGGCTGCGTTGCCGATCGGTGATGGTACAGGAAGGGACGGCTGCGTTGCCGATCGGTGATGGTACAGGAAGGGACGGCTGCGTTGCCGATCGGTGATGGTACAGGAAGGGACGGCTGCGTTGCCGATCGGTGATGGTACAGGAAGGGACGGCTGCGTAATCGATCAGTGAAGGTATAAGGGGCGGGGGTCATGCTGCTGATCGGTGATGGTAGAAGAAGGGGCGGCCATGTTTCCGATCGGTGATGGTGGTAGAAGAAGGGGGGGCGGCCATGTTTCCAATCGGTGATGGTAGAAGAAGGGGGTGGCCATGTTTCTGATCGGTGATGGTAGAAGAAGGGGGGGGGCGGCGGCGGCGGCGGCGGCGGCGGCGGCGGCCATGTTTCTGATCGGTGATGATGGAAGAAGGGTGGCCGGCCATGTTTCTGATCGGTGATAGAAGAAGGGGGGGGGGGGGGCGGCCATGTTTCCTATCGGTGATGGTGGTAGAAGGGGGGGGCGGCCATGTTTCCGATCGGTGATGGTGGTAGTTGAAGGGGCGGCCATGTTTCCGATCAGTGATGGTGGTAGAAGGGGAGGCGGCCATGTTTCTGATCAGTGATGGTGGTAGAAGAAGGGGCGGCGGCCATGTTTCCGATCGGTGATGGTAGAAGAAGGGGGGGCAGCCATGTTTCCGATCAGTGATGGTGGTAGAAAGAAGGGGGGGGGCGGCCATGTTTCCGATCAACAATGGTGGTAGAAGAAGGGGGGGGGGCGGCGGCGGCGGCGGCCATGTTCCTGATCCGTGATGATGGAAGAAGGGTGGCCGGCCATGTTTCCGATCGGTGATGGTGGTAGAAGAAGGGGGGGGGGCCATGTTTCCGATCGATGATGGTAGAAGGGGTACGGTGTGAGTGACGCACCTTAAATACATTCATTGAAGATCCATCAGAAAGGGAAAGAAGAAGCTGCAGACTAACGGCAATTAATTCCAGTAAATCAAATCTTCATCTTCAATGTTACTAATCCATTTCCAAGAACTTTCTGTTTTGTACTCATTTCTTTTTCGGTGATTTTTAGATCTGGCAGAAAGAGGCGGCCATGTTGCCGATTGGTATAAAAGGGGGGCAGTGGGGGGAGAGGCACCTTCTATACATTGATGATCCATCACAAAGGGAAATGAGAAGCTGCAAACTAACATCAGTTAACTAATAAAATCTTCATTCTCAACATTATTAATCCATTTGAGAAGTTTTTGTTTTCTACGCGTTTCTTTTTAGTCCAGGAGACGTCCATTTTTTACATTTCCCAGATAACATATCTTTGTACTAAATTCCTGTGGACACTGGGTCCCTGTCAATGATATTTTCATTACAAAAAAAAAAATAAAGTGATCCTCATGGATTCACAGAAAATGTCTCCGCTCAATTATTCTAAAAATATATTTTGGGGCAAAAAAAACAAAAACTGATTTCTGGATGTCTGGGTTGGTTGGGAAGCAACAATGTAACTTTGTAGAAGAGTCTGAAAAAGGGAACTCTCTGCCTACCGATGACTTCACACAGGTTCCGGTTTTTTGAAGCCGACAAATACTGCAACAGGCTCTACCCCTATGAGCTCACCGCTAACGCGTTTCGCCCAAAAGGGCTTACTGATCGAGATCTGTGAGGTTAGATTCACACTACTGTGTGTTAGGAACACACAAAATTGATCCGCAAATCACACTGCCCTTAATGGAACCTCCACATGCGGGTGCACCTGTTTTTGGAAAAGAACCGTGGACTTCTCTGCGTTTCTGATGTGTAAGGCAGCCCATGGAATTGGAGCATAAACATGGAAATCTTGGAAGAATTCTGGACTTTAGGCACATTTGCTGAAAGTTTCAAATAGATCCATAACTTTTTCACATCATTTTAAGTTTTTAACAAATTATTGAGGGAAAAAATGTAACACATAAAAGAACATTGGAGACCCTTGCCCTAACCCTCGGGGTGCAAACTATGGCCCTCCAGCTGTTGCAGTACTACAAGTCTCATCATGCCTCTGGGAGTCTTGCCTGAGGCTGTCAGAGTCTTGCAATGCCTCATGGGACTTGCAGTTCCTCAACAGCTGGAGGACCATAGTTTGCAGACCCTTGCGTTAGAGTATCGCTAAAACTCAAATTCCTAATGCGTGGTATGTGGGGTCATCGGTATGCGTATGAAGAGTATGGAGGTTCCACAACCCAGAGACTTGGCTCAACGCATTTCACGACTAGGGACTGCGGGAGCTTTTTAGGTGCCTCTGGATAAGATGAAAACATAAATACAAAAACGTCAACATCCAGATGAACTCCCGACCCTCTGTCCGTGAACACCCGACCCTCTGTCCGTGAACTCCCGACCCTCTGTCCGTGAACTCCCGACCCTCTGTCCGTGAACTCCCGACCCTCTGTCCGTGAACTCCCGACCCTCTGTCCGTGAACTCCCGACCCTCTGTCCGTGAACTCCCGACCCTCTGTCCGTGAACTCCCGACCCTCTGTCCGTGAACTCCCGACCCTCTGTCCGTGAGCACCCGACCCTCTGTCCGTGAACACCCGACCCTCTGTCCGTGAGCACCCGACCCTCTGTCCGTGAACTCCCGACCCCTGTCCGTGAACTCCCGACCCCCTGTCCGTGAACTCCCGACCCCCTGTCCGTGAACTCCCGACCCCCTGTCCGTGAACACCCGACCCTCTGTCCGTGAGCACCCGACCCTCTGTCCGTGAACTCCCGACCCTCTGTCCGTGAACTCCCGACCCTCTGTCCGTGAACACCCGACCCTCTGTCCGTGAACTCCCGACCCTCTGTCCGTGAACACCCGACCCTCTGTCCGTGAACTCCCGACCCCCTGTCCGTGAACTCCCGACCCCCGGTCCGTGAACTCCCGACCCCCGGTCCGTGAACTCCCGACCCCCGGTCCGTGAACTCCCGACCCCCCGGTCCGTGAACTCCCGACCCTCGGTCCGTGAACTCCCGACCCCCTGTCCGTGAACTCCCGACCCCCTGTCCGTGAACTCCCGACCTTCTGTCCGTGAACTCCCGACCCCCTGTCCGTGAACTCCCGACCTTCTGTCCGTGCACTCCCAACCCTCTGTCCGTGAACTCCCCAACCCTGTCCGTGAACTCCCAACCCTCTGTCCATGAACTCCCAACCCTCTGTCCATGAACTCCCAAACCCTCTAACCATGAACTCCCAACCCTGTCCATGAACTCCCCAACCCTGTCCATGAACTCCCAAACCAACCGTGAACTCCCGACCCTCTGTCCGTGAACACCCGACCCTCTGTCCGTGAACACCCGACCCTCTGTCCGTGAACACCCGACCCTCTGTCCGTGAACACCCCGACCCTCTGTCCGTGAACTCCCGACCCTCTGTCCGTGAACTCCCGACCCCCCGGTCCGTAAACTCCCGACCCTCGGTCCGTGAACTCCCGACCTTCTGTCCGTGAACTCCCGACCCCCTGTCCGTGAACTCCCGACCTTCTGTCCGTGCACTCCCGACCCTCTGTCCGTGAACTCCCCAACCCTGTCCGTGAACTCCCAACCCTCTGTCCATGAACTCCCAACCCTCTGTCCATGAACTCCCAACCCTCTGTCCATGAAACTCCCAAACCCTCTAACCATGAACTCCCAACCCTCTGTCCATGAACTCCCAACCCTCTGTCCATGAACTCCCAACCCTCTGTCCATGAACTCCCAACCCTCTGTCCATGAACTCCCAAACCCTCTAACCATGAACTCCCAACCCTGTCCATGAACTCCCCAACCCTCTAACCATGAACTCCCAACCCTCTGTCCATGAACTCCCCAACCCTGTCCATGAACTCCCAAACCCTCTAACCATGAACTCCCAACCCTGTCCATGAACTCCCAACCCTCTAACCATGAACTCCCAACCCTGTCCATGAACTCCCAACCCTCTAACCATGAACTCCCAACCCTCTGTCCATGAACTCCCAACCCTCTAACCATGAACTCCCAAACCCTCTGTCCAAGAACTCCATTATACTGAATTCATAATGGTGCACACGGAAATCGGTATACATGTGAAAGGATGAGCAAGGGCACAGGAACCAGCAGTGTAGCTGTCACTCATTTGCCATAGCGCACGGGTGTCAAACTGATGGCCAAACTACAAGTCCCATGAGACATTGAAAGATTAACAGTTACAAGCATGACTCCAAAAGGCATGATGGGACTTGTAGTTTTGCAACAGCTGAAGGGCCGCCAGTTTGACACCCCTGTGCAGGTAAGGATTTACACTTTCATACAGTTGTGTTCAGAATAATATCCGTGTGATGAAAAAAGTGACTAAAGCTGCAAATCCTTCTAATCCTTTTATTTCCATCCACACAAATGCATTGGGAACACGACACATTCTATTCCAAATCACAACAGGAAGAAAAATACATCAAATTTGTGTTGTTCCTCTAAAAAAATGGAAGAAAAGTGAATATTAGACGGTTCAAAAAATGGCCGTGTTTGTATTCTTCTTTCCAAACTCCAACATTCACTATATAAAACTGAGAAATGTTTGAAGATTTTGCTTTCCTTTGAATGACTTCATGAATATTTGGTTGTAGTCGCACTGTTTCTGAGAACTGCTGTACATCTGTGTTGCATGGAGTCCTCCAACTTCTGGCCCCTGTGATCAGGTATTCCAGCCCAGGATGATTGGACCACATTCCACAGCTCTTCTCTATTTCTTGGTTTGGCCTCAGAAACTGCATTTTTGATGTCACCCCACAAGTTTTCTATTGGATGAAGATCCGGGGGATTGGGCTGGCCACTCCATAACGTCCATCTTGTTGGTCTGGAACCAAGATGTTGCCCGTTTACTGGTGTGTTTGGGGTCGTTGTCTCGTTGGAACACGCATTTCAAGGGCATTTCCTCTTCAGCATAAGGCAGCATGACCTCTTCAAGTATTCTGATGGATTCAGACTGATCCATGATCCCTGGTATGCGATAAATAGGCCCAACACCGTAGTATGAGAAACATCCCCATATCATGATGCTTGCACCACCATGCTTCACGGTCTTCACAGTGTACTGTGGCTTGAATTCAGTGTTTGGGAGTCGTCTGACAAACTGTCTCCGCCCACTAGACCCAAAAAGAACAATCTTACTTCCATCAGTCCACAAAATGTTGCCCCATTTCTCTTTAGGCCGGTCAATGTGCTCTTTGGCAGATTGTAACCTCTTCAGCACACGTCTTTTTCCCAACAGTGGGACTTTGCGGGGGCTTCTTCTTGCAGATAGCTTGGCTTCACATAGGCGTCTTCTAATTGTAACAGTCCTCACAGGGAACCTCACACCTTCTTTCATCTTCCTGGAGCTGATTGTTGGCTGAGTCCTCACAGGGAACGTCACACCTTCTTTCATCTTCCTGGAGCTGATTGTTTGCTGAGTCCTCACAGGGAACGTCACACCTTCTTTCATCTTCCTGGAGCTGATTGTTGGATGAGTCCGCCCCATTTTGGCTATTCTTCTATCCATTCCAATGGTAGTTTTTCGCTTTCTTCCTCGTCTTTCAGGTTTTGGTTGCCATTTTAAAGCATTTGGGATCATTTTAGCTGAGCAGCCGATCATTTTCTGCACTTCTTTCTATGTTTTCCCCTCTCCAATCAACTTTTTAATCAAGGTACGCTGTTCTTCT